TCCAGAGGTAAAAGATTGTGTTCTGCGTTTTTCCAGTTTCAAGTCTTTTTCCTTCAGGTAGCTTTGATTGTTCCCTCAACTTCCATTCAACGATCGCATGGGTATAGCCCAACTCCAGCAAAGCAGCTCTAGTAGTGGACAGGGATCACTTGTCTGCCAAGCAGCATTCATTCGCGAAAATTGGCTGGAGGACGTGCCAAATATTCTTTTTGGCAAAGCAACCTGGGAAAAGAGAAGCTCCCACAAGCCGTAAGAATCTGAACTACCGTAGAACAATGCGAAGATTCTTGCCCATGAGGAGGCAATCTTATCTAAGCTATAAAAACAGTGCTGAGATTTCTGTCCAATCGACTCTTCTTCTCTTGTTTTTTTCTCTTTGGGTGTCGGTATAGTTGACAATTACACATTCCTGGTGCGTTGTTTGATCTGGTCTCGAGGAGAAGTTTTTTTGACCCTTCAGGACAAGCATATGCTCTTTTCGTCCAAGGGTCAACAATTGAGACTCCACCCAAACATAAGTGCTCGCGTGTTAAAACTCTGGAACGTTTTTTCTCTAGAAAATGAGAGAAAAAAACGGCATCTTCGGTCTCCCATATTCGAAAAGCTGCTCGCCACCCATGGAATTATTGGATTCCACTGTCAAATCACTCGCAAAAAGCTTTAAGTAATTCCTGGCCTGGACACTCTCCATCCATCCTCGCCACCCATCCACAATCTCGTCACTCGCTTCACGATCAAGATCATCACCTACTTGAGCTATGGCGGGAGCTATGGAATTGGACATCTGGAAATCCCGCCTTCACTCCTCCGCAAGAACAGGCCTGGCTTGTCTCATCGCGGCTGTGCTCCTCGAATACGCTCATGGCTACGTCAAGTGGACCTCCTTCCCGGTATTCTCTTTCGTTCTCTCGTTTGTCCTCCTCAGCGAATGCCCGTCGCTGGAAATGGTGATCCGAGACTCGTGGTCGGTGATCCTGGGTGCCATCCAAGGCCTCGCTCTGGGAATGCTCGTGATCAATCTCTTCGGCCCAACCGTGTCGATCTGGACGAGCCTCTTGTGTATCTTTTGGAGCAGCATGGTGGTGGCGTATCCATCTTTCTCCAGTCTTCTCACCAAGAGGATTGCGCTCACCGGCGTCACACACCTCCATGTAGTCGCGTACGCGAGGCAGGAAAGCATGGACAGGATATTCTACCCCCTGAAGCTGGGGGCGACGATGATGCTCAGTGTCTCGTGCTGTCTTGTCGCTCTCACTTTTCCCGTGCCAAAGCTTGCGTCCACCAAGGTGGGAGAATCCACTGAAAAGTTGTATTGATAGTTTACTATGATCATGCCATTTCCAGGTGAAGCAGCAGATCGTCCAATCCACCCGAGTGATCTCTCGAGCTTTTGATGCTCTACTTGCAAGTTTCTGTACCATGGAAAGATGTGGATGCCATTCTTTGAGATTCCAGTCGAAGTCTCTTGTTGAGGCTGGATCCAAACTTGTGTCGGATATACCACGCCTGGTACGTATTACATATTTTATATTCAGCTTGAAACTTTTTCCTTGGTTTCCAGGAATGCGCGCTTTTCTTCAAAGCCAAAGCTTTTGGAACCTCTGGAAAGAGGCTTGATAAGCTCATGCTGCACTTGAAAGCAATGGAGATGGCCAAGGTTATCTCCATTGATCATGCAACCATAGTCTTGCTGGAGGATCCATTCACTCGGATAAGAGAATGGAGCAAATTGGTGTTAATGGCACCAGGGGGAACTGGAAACGATAAGCTCCTGGAGGATGGGACAGACATCATCGGCAGCTTGAATGAAGCTCTAGAGATTGCAGTTGGGTCTTTCGATACCAAAGATCCTTCGCAGCTCGAGGCTCATTTCTCGTGCCTTTTCTTCGTCCAAAATATGAGACTCTTCCTCGCTGAGGCCAGGGGCGCGCTAAAAGGTGGCACCTCAAAACCAGCACGGTCAATGGAAGATTTAAAGAGAGTCAGCGGTAGTCAATGCCAACCTTGCAAAGGAGAGATCGATCATATCAACGATAAACGCACGATCTCAAGATGGCTCCTTGATCTCTACGACCGGGAGCAATTCATTCTCGCGCTCAAGATCTCACTCGCAATGGTCCTGGGAGCGTTTGCCGGATTCATGTACGATCGAAGCCACACCATCTGGACAACGCTGATAATCGGGATGGGATTTAACGCTCGCCGGGATGCCTCCCTGCGAATCTCAGACATACGCTTGCACGGAGTGGTGCTGGGAACGCTCTACGGTTACCTGGTCTCCTTCTACACGCTCAGATATCCAGCCATGATCTCCATCGTCGCCCTGGCAGCATGGATCGTCTTCACGAGCTTCATGAAACACAGTCGGCTCTACGGGCCGCTGGGGAACGTCTCCGCCTTGATTGGCGCAATCTTTCTCGTGGGTCATCGCAAGAGAGTTCCTCTCGACCGGCTCGCCATGCTTCGGATGGCCGAGACTTTCCTGGGCATCGCAGCCTTCGTCGCCGTTGACTATCTAATCCTCCCAAGGCGAAACTCATCGGCTATGGCGAGAGCCAAAGCTACCGCGAGCGCGGACAAAATCAAGCGGTGCACGAGAGCAGCGGTCAGCGCGTGCGCTGACTGCGAGGACGGGTCAACGATGGAGGGAGCTGAACGGGATGCGGGCCTGGCGGTGGCGGAATTGGAAGCGCTTGTGGAGGAGATGAAGATGGAGCCCTGTGGAATGCATGATCTGCTAGAGGAGCGAGCGTTTACCAAGATCGTGAGATCCCAAAAGAGGATCCTCGGCTTAATACAAACGCTTGTGATTTTCGCCCTGGAGCTTCGGAGAATCTCGGGATGCGAGCACCTCCAGCTCTCCGCGCTAGATTTGCTGACGCTCAAAGAGGGTGGCGGCGACGTGGAAGACCAGTCTAAAGGTGGCATTGACTTAGTTGACTCGTGTAGAACAAAGTTTCTGCTGGGCAGGAGGACAGGGAGCTGGGAAGAAATCCTTGTCTCTGGGGCACTGGCATTCAATGTCCAGGAACTTCTGCTAGAGTTTTCAAAGATGGAGAGGAACATTCTCAAGTTGGTGAAGACAGGAAATGTTAAAATTATTTAAAGTTCTTTTTGGATAAGACAATTTTTAAAAGTGTGGATTGATAAGTTACTGTTGGTGTAATACTTTACATTTTAAGATTGATAATGCTTTACAACTTGCCCAATGAGAAGTAATTGCGCCCCCATTGAAACTAGAATATAGTTCAGAATCTACCGCACTTAGTGACGTCACTAGTTCTGGATGTAACAATAACAGAAAGTTAGAAATGAAATCTAAGAACTTGATAAGTATTCACCCATCGTCCTTATCTCATTAGATCGTTGCTTGCTCATCGGTGAAATTGACATAATCCCAAATTGATATATATTCAATTTGATTCTTGGCCTGCAAGGTGATTCCAAGGATGTGAAGCTGGCTGAAAAGTAAAAATGAAAAGCTTGGGCTTTGGATTAGAATGTGATTTTCGTGAGTTAATAGTAGCTGTGAGCTCCGGTAAAATGTTGAAAACGGCAGGTCCCCTGTAATCACAAAGTGGATGCTCGCCACTCACGCACTGGATTCCCATGTCAAATCAAATCACACTTGAAAGCGTATAAGAGTTCATCCTGGAACCGAAACCCCTGTGCCACCTGGAAAGGAAAGCCTCATTTTTCACGGGTCTCCCTGAAAAGACTAAAGATTTAACGGTTGTGGGAACCTGATGTGGAAGTCCCGTCTCCTCTCCTCGGCAAGAACAGGGGTGGCATGTCTCATCGCCGCTTTGCTGCTGCAATACGCGCACGGCTACGTCAAATGGACGTCATTCCCGGCATTCTCCTTCATCCTCTCCTTCGTCATCGTGAGCGACTGCCCCTCGCTCGCAAAGGTGATGAGAGATTCATGGTCTGTGCTCTTCGGCGGGATCCAGGGGCTCAGCCTGGGAATGCTCGCGATCAATCTCTTGGGGCCGAGCGTGTCCATCTGGACGAGCCTCATGTTCATCTTCTGGAGCAGCATGGTGATCGCCTACCCGTCTTTCTCCAATCTTCTCACCAAGAGGGTTGCGCTCACCGTCGCGACCCACCTCCATGTCATTGCGTACGCGAGGCAGCAAGACATGGACAGGATATTCTACCCCTTGAAGCTGGGTGCGACGATGGTGCTGGGCCTGGCGTGCTCCATCCTCGCTCTCACTTTTCCCTTCCCAAAGTTCGCGTCCGTTAAGGTAGTGTGATGTCATTGATGTGATCTTCTCGGTTGCGTGATATACAATGGCTTGTCCAGGCGAGGCAGCAGCTGATTCAATCCATCGAGATCATCTCGCAAGCGTTCGACGCACTGCTGACGATGTTCTGTACTCGGGAGAGATTTCAAAGGCAGTCCTTGAGATTCCAGGCGAAATCTCTCATGGAGGCAGGATCCAAAGTCATCCTCGAAGTCCACAACACAGTATGTATCCATGTACGCTTTCTGCCTTTTTATTCATCCCTATTCCCTTGAATTTCAGGACTGCTTTCTTCCGTTTGCGGTCAAAGCCAAGTCCAACTACGAGAAACAGGTCAACAAGCTCATGCAACATGTCAAAGCAATGGAGCTGGCCATGAACTCGAGCTCCTGCTCCGACCAGGAGCTCTCGGACTCTGCCAAGGCCTCGCTCGAGGAGCCCATGTCACAAGTAAGAGAGTGGAGCAAATCCTTCGCCGCAAAGATGAATCATCCATCTGGCAAGGAGAGCGTGGACTCGGACAAGCTCCTGAAAGACGGAAAGGAGATCATGAGCCAAGCTCTCGAGACCGTGCTCTCGCTCCAAGATCCCTCACAACTCCAAGCGCAGATTTGTGGCCTGTCCTTCGCGCACAATGCGAGGCTTTTCCTCGCGGAAGCCACCACCATGCTACAGACCACACCGAATCTAAGCAAGGTCTGGTCAACACTCGACACTCCCGAGTCAACACCGGTCAGCGCGAGTCCGTGCTGCAAGCTAATTAGTAGCGTGGATCCAATTGAGGAGAGCAAAAGTGAAAAAGAGATCGAGTTTCACTGGCGGTTTTTCAGCCAGATTCTCAAGCTCTACGACCGGGAGCGATTCATCGTGGCGCTCAAGATCTCGCTGGCTATGGTGCTCGGCTCCTACGCGGGCTCCACGTACAACCGCTACCACATCAACTGGACGACGCTGATAATCGGGATGGGCTTCAACGCCCACCGCGACGGCTCCTTCCGCGTCTCGGACCTCCGCTTGCACGGGATGGTGCTCGGCACCATCTTCGGCTACCTCGTCTCGTTCTACACGCAGAGCTCCAGTCCCATCTTCTCCATCGTCGCGCTCGCCGGATGGATCGTCTTCACCAGCTTCATGAAGCACAACCGCTTCTACGGTCCCCTTGGTAACGTCTCGGCGCTCATCGGCGCCATCTTCCTCGTCGGCCACCGAAAGAGAGTCTCGCTCGACAGCCTCGCCATGCTCCGGCTCACGCAGAGCTTCATCGGCATTGCTGCTTTCGTGGTCGTCGAGTACCTCGTCTTCCCGAGAAAGGTGTCGGTTCTCGCAAAGTCGACGCTGGCGGCGGGGCTGGCGGCGCTGGAGCGGTGCGCGAAGACGGTGGTCAGTGCTGGTGTTGACGTTGCGCGGTGCTGCTGCGAGAGGTGCCAGGGGTCCGCGCTGGAGGAGCTTGGGCAGGCGAGGCAGGAGGCGAGCTCCATCGCGCAGAAGCTGGGCGTGCTGGTGCAGGAGGCGGCGCTGGAGCCCTGCTGGACCGACCCGTTCCAGGAGAAGGCCTACGCCAAGATCTTGAGCTCCCATGCCAGGATCCTCGATCTGCTGCAAGCGCTCGTCATGTCCATCCTGGAGCTGAGGTCCAGAAGGCTGCCGTGGTGCTGCGAGACACTCCAGGACCTCCAGGCTCCTTGCTTTGGCCCCGTGTTGGTACGGTTAGATACTGCTGGAGGTGGCGGAGACGTTGAGAGCCAGTCCGCGAGCGTAGATCTCGTCGACGTCGACTGCTGGAGCTCGTCAGTGGTTGATGCGTGCCGGTCCAGGTTCCAGGAGGTGATGGCGACGGCGGGCGATGACCGGAACTGGGAAGATGCTGTCGTGTTTGGCGCCTTCATCTTCAACGCTCAAGCACTGGCGATGGAGTTTGCCAAGATCGAGCGGAACGTTCTCAAGCTGGTAAATCTAGAGCGTGGGTCAAAGATCCACACAGTAGAGTTGTCAGAGAAGCTAAGTGCTCGTTACCTCTTTAGGGGATGAATCCACGTAGCATTTGAGTAGCCATTTTTGCTTGGATGTTGTAGATGTCACTGGACGAGAAAGAGAAAGGTGGCGACTGCCCCCGGGTTAGATGCTCTGCGTAGGCGCAAATGAAGACACCACAGCTCGAGCCATCCGTCTAAACACAAGCATCCAAGTTTTAGAACCAGTTCTTTACGTTTTTTGTGTCTTTGCCTGTTGCGGGATGTTGTCCACAACGCAAAGTTGCCAGTTCTGTACGCTGGTCATGCTATGTTTGTTTGCTCCCTCTTCACGAAGGTACTCATCGACCTGCCAAGCTTATTTAAAATCGAGGAAAAGGAAAGGTTGAACATACCGATTTCATGATACGAATGTATGCCTTTGTTTTCGATTTGCACAGCAAAGAGTCGTAGTACTCTATCCGGTGGTTTTTGAGATGCGCCGCAACTAAAGACCTGGAAACAAAGAAATCAGATGCTATTGTCTCGAAAAAGCTTGGGCATAGTACCAGTGTACGTTGTTGTGGTTGACAGGAAACAAAAGAAGATCGTGGTCGAAAATGTTCTGTAAAGTAGCTACGTTCGGGAGATGCAAATCAAGATTGATTGGCTCAAAAAACTTCAAGCAAGGATTTGGGGAGTGAAACTCACAATGTTTTTCGACCATCTACGCACGCCTTCGTATCCAGCGATTTGGAGCTTGGTGTAGAAAAAGCTGCTGAAACAATGGGTTCGAAGCCTGATTAGATCAAAGGAAAAACAAAGTTTTCAATCAACATGGAACGAATGATCGAAAGTCTTACTTTGAAGAAGAATTCTTGTCAGGCCTGTCGGAGCGAACCTAGAAGAAAATTCTCTATGAGGAAAAGAAGAATAACGAGCTGACCTATGCTTTACCTTGATGAGCGAGAAGTAGCTGTTGATAATCTCACTGTTAAGCCACTTCCCATCCACAAGCAGCGCCAAATCCCGCCCAGCAATGCCCTCGCCATTTGGCAATTGCCAAATCGGCGCCGCATTCTCGGCCCTCGCGACCGATCCAAGAGAATCCGGCGCAGCGGCCGCATCCTTCTTCCTCTCCACGCGCTGTGCGGATCGAATTCGCGCCCTTCGCCCCGCTCGATCGATGCAAGCCAACCAGAAGAAGCGGAAGCGCCAGCGCCAAATTCTCCACAGCCTCGCGGGCGCCATAGCCACAGAAAGATTTTAAAACCCTATCTTATACCCAAGCACTCAAATCCAACTTTTCTTTAAAGGTGACCGTGCTACAAAAATCTAGATGGAGATTTCTTCCTTTAGCTCTTCCATGGATCGCCTTCTCTCACCTCGGATGGCTCTACGACTACCTCGGCCTCGGTAGCTGGCGGCGGAGGTGGCGTAGCGGCGGAGGCCTCTGGCGGTGGTGGCGATACTCCATATCCTCCGGAGTATCCCTGTGAGTAATCCACTTGGGGAGCGCTGGGAGCGCTATATTCCTCCTCCTGTCCGCTGAGAACTTGTCTGCCACCCAAAGCGACGCCGATCATGTCGTAGATTCGAGCACCGAATTCCGAGGCGTTGTCAGGCTGAAAAGAGAACGATCATCGAGCGAATTAGATGAGGAAATGAGAGGAAAAAACGATGAACTGACCGTGAATCCGCTGGAGACGTGAGCCGTCTCGTACAGAAGCTCCACAATCTCTTGGGCTCTAGTGTCGTGTGGACTGGACTTGCATGCCTCCTGCGAAAGAGAGATTATTTAAGGACGTTCCAAGTGAAACGAGAAAATCCTCACGTTTAGACTCGCGATGATGGGATGCTGGGGATTGATCTCCAGTATCCTCTTTCCACGCATGTAATCGAGCTGGCTCGTATCTCCCAACGCTTGGGCTTTCATAATCCTGAAAATATATGATGTGAAGAGACGAAAGATAACACACACAACCGAACCTTTCCATGTTGGCAGACCAGCCATGTTTGCCAGTGACAAGAACACAAGGAGACGTGCTGAGACGATTGGAGATACCAACGCTGGCCACCTTCTCGCCCAGAATTTGCTTGATCCAGTCACAGCAGTACGTGAATTCTCTTTCAATTTCCTGCTCCTTGGCTTCGTCCGCAGCACCTGGAAAAAAAGGTTATGAAGAAGCTTAAATCTAACCACGGCTTACCAAGATCGAGGTCTTCCTTGCTAATATCAACGAACTTCTTTTCCTTGTAAGATTGCAGGCTGGTAAGAGCAACCTCATCGATAGGATCCACAAGGAACAGAACCTACAAGTGAGGGAATTTAGTACCATGAAAAGTAGTGTATAAAACGTACCTCGTAGTCCCGCGCTAGCAATTGCTCAAGAAAAGGCGCACTCTTGCAGCTCTTCACAGTATCTGCCGCAATGAAGTAGATAGCATTTTGTTCAGGCTTCATGTTGCGAATGTAATCATCCAGGTTCGTCATTTCCTCCTCGTTTTTGGACGAGAAGAACCGCAAGAGCGGAGCAAGCCTCTTGTGGTTGTTTGCATCTTCTATGCATCCGAGCTTGATGTTCTTGCTGAAACATGTCCAAAAGATCTTGTAGTCCTGAACCAAGAAAAAAGTATCAGCACAAGTCCTAGCAAAAGTCAGCAAGTGCAGCTACCTCCTTCTTTTCCCTGTTGGCAATTTCGTCCAGCAGATCAAAAGACTTTCTGACAAGACGCTTCTTCATTATACGCACCTGTCAGTTTTTAAAGTTAGATCCTAGAATCAGATTTCAAGTCAATTATCTTACTATTCTGCTCTCTTGAAGAATTTCTCGTGATACGTTCAAAGGCAAGTCGTTGGAATCCACAATACCTTTGATAAAGCTGAGATAGCGCGGGAACTTCATCGAAAGACAATCCCAGTGTTAGACACAAACACAAAATTTGAATTTAGCTTACCAGGTCGCCCTCAAAAGAATCGGAAATGAACACCCGTTTTACGTAGAGCCTGATATTCTTCGTTTTCAGTCCTTGGTTTTCCTCGTGGGACAGTGGTGCCATACCAGGAACATACAGTAAACTTCTGAATTCGACTTCTCCCTGTAAACGCTGTTAAAGCAGAGAACGAACGGAACTGACCTTTACCTCAGTAGTAAAGTGACTGTAGCCTAGAGGAGGGAGAAACTCTTTGAACGTAGTCTTAAAGAACTCCTTGTACTCTTCCGGATCAATCTCCTTTTGACTTCTCATCTATTACATTCTCACATATAAGAAAGCCTGGGGCAAACAAGATCAACACGTTACCCAGATAGGCTTTGTCTCGTTGATCAGCTCCCAGTCATAGACTTTCTGAGTAATGGTTTTCATTTTCTGAAACAATAGTGTAAGTCGAGATCAACGAAATGTCTACAAAACAGCGAGAAGTTCACCTTTTGTGGCGCTGGTGCCTCTCCTCCTTCGATGGCAGCAGACGCTGGATCAGCAGGAGGCGCCTCGGAAGCTTCTGTGTCTTCCACCTGATGAACGATTAAGAATTGTATAGAAAACAAGACCAAACATCAAGTACCTCCTTCTCTACTGTCTTCTCTTGCCATGTGTAGATGGGAAAAGATATGAACTGAGAATAGTTTTTCACCAAGTTCAAAATCCTCACTGGATCCGTGTACTCAAATTTATCATCCGCCTGCAACAGAAACAATTAAGCTCAACTCATTCTCTTAGCCAATCGCGGTTACCTTCAGCGTCAAAGTAACGACTGTTCCTCGCGGAATAAGCTTGTCGGGGTCAGTTTCTTCATAGACCGAATAGTCGTTTTCATTGGCCTCTCCTTCCCAAACCCACTGTTTGTCCGACTTTGAATGTCTTGTTGAGACAGTAACCTTCATTAAAAAAAGGGGGGGAGTTAATTCAGTTGATGTGTGAAATAAAAGACCTTACCCTGTTAGCCACCAGAAAGGCAGAGTAGAATCCAACACCAAATTGACCAATCAGATTGTTATCCCCGAGTGCAGCCTTATTTTCCTGCACGCAAGTATAATTAGCTGGGTAAATTTCCAGTCTACACAAGCCACATACCTTGATTGCGCTGAAAAACTTTGCAGTGCCACTCTGGGCGATAGTTCCGAGACTGTCCACAAGCTCTTGGCGAGTCATACCAACTCCAGAATCGCTGCACAGAGAAACAGACGAACATTAAAACCTGGGAAGGAAAATGCAAACTCACATGATGGTCACGGTCCCCTTCTCCTGATCAGCCTTGATTCGAATCTCCAGGTTGGGATTAGGATCCAAAAGGCTAGGCTCAGTGACGCTCAAGAATCGCAGCTTGTCAAGCGCATCACTCGCATTGCTGTAAAGATTCAACAAAATGAGCCGGGAAGAGAATTGGCAAAACAGTACCTGACGAGCTCACGAAGAAAAACTTCCTTGTGACTGTATAGACTGTTGACGATGAGGTCCATCAAGCGACTAACCTGTAGAGCATCGTGTTAGAATTTGTTCTAGCATGAATAGCTCTTACCTCTGCTTGATACTGGAACTTTTCAGCCGCTGGCTCGGCCGGAGGAGCCTCGGCGACAGTAGCCTCGGCACGAACACTCATTCGATTCCAATCTGCCCGCCTCTCCTCCGATGTAAAACCAACATTCCCAGCGATGGCCCTGCCGGAGCTCAAGAACCTAGAGCCGTGTGCCAGCGGAAGAAACTGAGACCTCTTCTGGAGAGGAACACTTTTAGCGCCCTGCAAAATCCGAGCTAGAATCGTCAATCATCCGTCCATGGCAGGAGATTTCGCTCACCTTGTCGGCATTGCTTCGCAGCGCCAGCGCGGCGGTGGCAGTGCTGAGAGATCTCACCGACGTCGCGGCCGGAGAGACGGCCATGGTCCGCAGCAGCGTGACGGAAAGCGCCTTCCTCGAGCAGGAATTCATATCACCGCGAATAGCAGCTTCCAAGGAACAAGCGCCCAGCGCCTAGCGCCCGGCAACGACGAACCAAACCAAACCACAATAACAATGGCTATGGCGGTCCTCCTTTTAGGGTTCGTCGGTCTTGTTATGGTCATGCATGCCCATATGGCAAGATCCAGCCGTTGGATTGATTCTCATCTAACGGGACCTGCAAGTGCGAATCCCTGTTTGTTAAAATCTCGACTAGAAGAAGGCCTTTAGCTAACAGGTAATTGGATAAATATCGGCTGTTATGCATGGGTCATGCATGACCATGGAAAAATCTGGAAGCCTTGTCGTTGTCTTAAACCCTAAACCCTGGATATTCCTTTGGCGCGCTTCTTCTCATGTCAAATAGTCTCATCGTCTTCCAGGCGCCGCGGTTAGGGTGTAGCTTTCTTAGGCATCAATGCCGCGCTCTAGTGGCGGCCACCGATCTCTCCGGCGGATTCCAGCGGCCAGAGACGATCAAATGGGATAGGGATCTCGCGAATAATGTGAGCTTGATTGGATTTCTAGGTAAAGATCCCGCTTGGGGCTACAGCGAGCAAGGAAGAATCGCATATGGCTCGATAAAAACTCCCCATTCGTGGTATGTGAGCTTTTTTCTTTTTCAAATGGTTTGTTTCATAGCGATGTTGTTTGATTCCTCAGGTTTTTGCTTGATTTCTGCGACCCAGTCTCGGAAATTGCTGTTGAGCATGCTAAGAAGGGGGATTGGGTTCAAGTTCAAGGAGAATTGCTTGTACCAAAGCCTGGAGATAAGATCGTCACACCTAAGGTTCGTGGAAAAGCATTGACTTTCTCTTCTTTTTTTCTTTCTCTTTTTATACATTCTCCTTTGATTCCAGGTGCTTGTTAAAGACTTTAAGTTTGTCGAGAAATCAAACGGTGAGGCTGTAGATTTTTTTTATAAAACTTTCGCTCGTAGCTCGCTGAGATATTTAGATTATCAGACTCCAAAATCGAGACTGCCAGGCTCTGGCTAGAGTTTTTTGCTGCTCCAAATGAATGGTGGGACAACAGAGCAATCAAGGTATTGAAAATGGATTGTAGCCGCAAGACTTCATACTTCCTCCTTCTTTTTTCGTTTTTGTTTTTTTTTTTTTCCTTTTTTTTCAGAGAAATGCGAGAGCTCCAGACTTTAAACACAAAGAGACGCGAGAAGCACTGTGGCTCAACAGTCAGGACTTGCCTTCCTGGGTTCCTTCGCAAATCCAAGCTCTAGAATCCAAAGGCATCCTGAAAAGGTTTGAGCAATAAACTGTAAGAACTTGTTATTGAAACTGCTTAATGGTTTATTAACGAACAGATAGTAGGGCTTGGTAATGCGATGGATTGGAAGGCAAACTGGCGCTTTGCGCTGCTTTCACAGCTTACTTGAAAGCACAAAGCTCCATTCTCGTCCCGCCACCATCGGCTTTGATCCATCGCTTGCCAATACTGCCACTCTAACTGGGAAAGTTATCGGCAATCCCGCTGTTTACAAGGTGTTCTCTGGGAAGATTGCGAAGGCCGTCCTCCTTGTGGAAGACAAGAGCTGGTATGTTTGTTCTCTATTCGATATGTCTGATCTAATGCTCGATGGCAGCTTTTTTGTGGATTTCCACAACGGTCTTGGAGAGTGCTTCATTCAACACGTCCGGAGAGGGGACTGGATTCAAGTCTCGGGGTCCGCCTCTGTGGAGATGCAGAGAAGTACACCCATCGCAAAAGTAAGCATTTGTTCTTGAGAAGATCAGTGCTCTAGTTCATATGCCTCAGATTCGAGTCAGGGACTTCCAGCTAGTGGAGGGAGATGTTCCCGGAAGATCTGGTGAGTCTTTTCCAATCTTTCAATTTGTTTACCAGTTTGTGCTTGTAGAGGAGCAAGACGAGCACTCAAGACTATGGCAGAATTTCTTCGCAGCGCCGCACGACTACTGGGATAATCGCCACGACAAGGTTGTGTGTATAAACTTGCGAAAGATCTTAAGATTCGAAGGCTTGTGTTGCAGGAAAACTCCAAGCGTCCAGATTTTCGCCATAAATCGACTAAAGAAGCACTGTGGCTTGACGATTCCAGAAATCCTCCCTGGGTCTACGCGCAAGTTGAGATGCTAGAGTCTCGCGGCCTCTTGAGAAAGCCAAAACTTACTATCGTGTAATTTTATCACTTACATCGTGAAAGAGAATATTTTTTCACCTTCAACTATCAAACTTTTGAATTGCTTGGAGGGATTTTCTTAGGGTAGCGATCGAGCTATGGCGGACATGGATGTGTGTCCGGCCGCTGGCGCATTGGGAGGCGCTGGAGCTGGAGATTTGGATCCAGCATTCGCCGATGCGACAGCGAAGCTCTCGAATGCATCGCTTTTCTCAAGCGACAGGATCGAGGTCTCAGGTAAAGTTTTCTCTTCCTCGGCATCGCGATTCGATGCTGAATTGTTTTGTTTTGTTTTGTCAGTCGAGGTGTGCCTGAAGCCGACGAGCTCGGCGCGTCACGAGGATGTCAAAGACGCGATTGAAAGGTAGTACTTTCTTCTGCACTGTGATGTTTGATCGAAATTTCTTTCTTCTTCTGGCAGAATGCTTCACAATCAAGGCCTATCCCTCGTCGATGGTCCTGTGAACTTTCAACAAACGGAAGAGGCATTTCTCATTGATAACGTCCAAAGTGTTCTATGCGACACAGGTATTTACGTTTTGCCAATTTTCGTCGACCATGCATACCTTTTCTTTCAGGTCGGGGCACTGGGGACTGCGTTCTCCTCTTCTGGCAAGTGTACTTCAAAGTGAGCGTTTACCAGGTACTGTAAGCTTGCTCTGGATCGAGGAGTAGTACTGGCTGACGGAACTTCTTCGTTCACTTACTTACCAGCTGAACGAGGAAGGTGCAGCAGATGACGAGGGAGATGGTGCGGAGGAGCTACCGAGTTTTCAAGAGTGGTCCCTGCCAGCGAAAGAATTCCATGGACTGTGGGAGAGGTAGCTCTTTGCTGGCCGATTGTGTTCAGGCTTCTAATCTTTGGACTTTCAGCTTGATATACGCCACCGGCTTGAAGCAGAGGCTTCTTCAATACTCGAAGACAGCCGTGCTGTTCGCCGACAAAGGAGTCGACCACAACCTTATTTCGTGGAATCGGTATGTAATCTCTTTTTCGTAATGTGTTATAGCGACAACTTCAATTCTTGTCCGTAGAGTTATATTGCTACATGGTCCACCAGGAACGGGGAAGACTTCCTTATGCAAAGCGCTTGCACAAAAGCTTGCAATCCGCTTCAAGGACAGGTGCTAGCCATCGATCATCTCTTGACACAATCTTGCATAAATGTTGATAAGTCACAGATATCACTCATCACAACTCGTCGAAGTTAATGCGCATTCTTTGTTTAGCAAGTGGTTTTCAGAAAGCGGCAAGCTGGTATGGTCTATAGATTCTGACGTAATCTCTGACTCTTTCTTTGGATCTCAGGTCACCAAGCTTTTCCAAAAAATCCAGGACCTGGTTGAAGACGCCGATTCCCTTGTGTTCGTCCTGATAGGTGTTCTGTCAGTGACGTTCTTATGTCATCTGCTTGCATTTAACGTAACGATGCAGATGAAGTTGAGAGCTTGGCAGCCGCAAGACAGGCTGCACTTTCGGGATCCGAGCCTTCAGACTCTATCAGGGTTCGCTATTTCGAGATTCTCGTTTTCGTCTGATTCATTGATATCATGTACAGGTCGTCAATGCTCTGCTCACGCAGCTTGACAAACTGAGAAGCTGGCCTAATGTTGTTGTTTTGACCACATCAAACATCACTGGAGCAATTGGTACGAGCGACATTGTCCAGAAAATATATCCCTGACACCTGGTTCCAGACCTTGCATTTGTTGATCGAGCGGACATAAAAGCATACATTGGACCACCGACGCTGGAAGCTCGATACGAAATCCTACGAAGCTGTATGAAAGAGCTGGAAAGGACTGGACTAATTTCATCCTCCGCGGTCAGTGCTTTCTGTCTGCAAAAATCTACTATTTTACCAGCTTTGTCGACAGCAGAATGGATCCATCAGCGAGACCTTCGTAAGCTACGACACACTATTACAGTCTATGAACTGCAGCATGCCTGACATCCTTTCCAATTCATTGCTTCAGACTGCTGAAGCTGCCGAGGTGGATTTCTCTTTCGTTTCCCCTGCCCTGACGACTGAATTCGCAGGGACTCAGTGGACGGGTGCTGCGAAAGCTACCGTTCCTCGCTTACGCTGGCATGGCCTTGGAAACTAAAGTCGACACTCACCACTTTCTGGTGGCACTGAAAGAGGCAGCGCAACGAGAACGAAGCGAGCGTGACACGAATGACAAGTAGGGGAGCAGGCCGAGCAGCGAGCGCTGGCCCTGGCTCTATCAAAAGGCCGTAATTCTCGAGTTCTTCTCCCCCAAGTGCACATATATCCGCAATGACAATGCCTGGTTTTTCAGCTACACCACTACTTCGATAGCCAGAGGTACTTCCTTTGATCTTCATCCAAACTTTTTTCATCATTCGCATTTCTATCATTTCCAGGTGCTTTATCAAATACGTCCCATGCTTCGTTCTCCTGGATAGAAAGACGAAAGTTCCCTCCATAGTCTTCTCGATCGTCCGATATTCGCCATCGGACGGCTCTGTAAGATTTTGTTCTAAACTGGGTTGGCAGCCCTAAATTGTGGGACGTGCCCCTTTACTCAAGGAAATTGTTTGCGGCTTCGCTTCTCATGGTACGTGTCTCCATTTCTTTTTTGGCGCTTCATCACGTCTCATGTGTGTCTCAAGAAATGGCTGAGTGTTAGCGCGTCTAGATCAGTTGAAAAGACTTAGAACTAAAATGGTACCCTTGGGATTCAAATGCAAGGTGATTTCCTTCTTTGTTTTTTTCTTTTCTGGCCTCCAGGCGTCGCCGGGGAGGCAGATGAGTTCTGCCAGGGGTGGAATCGTCGACACAAAAGCTTGGCAAGAGCTCAAAGTGAGTTCTTCTTTTTTTTTCTTTCGTTGTGTGCTCAAACTTCTGTACAGAGCCATGTTGGGGAGATAAGCAAATTACATCTCAAAGACTTGCTTGGCGACAAGGCCCGGTGCGAATCGATGATGAAGTAAGTCTTGCCACAGCTACAGAAAACTATCTTATGACCTTGGAAACTGCTTTAGAGAGTATGACGGGATTGCTCTTGATTTCTCACGTCAAAGAGCAACACAGGACACTTTCCAGAAGCTGTTTCAGCTTGCAAAGGTACGGAGGTTCTTTCTTTCTCTTGGTTTTTGACGAGCTCTCTTGCAGGAGATGAAGCTCAAAGATAAGATTGACAGGATGTTTGGCGGTGATCACGTAAGTTGCGGAGAGTTCGTTTTGCTGATTGATCATGGTCTTTTGATCGGCAGATAAATAGCACAGAGGATCGTCCCGTGCTTCATGTGGCTTTGAGGGCACCAAGGGAGGCACTGATAGCCTGCGACGGCAAGAACGTTGTTCCCGAGGTCTGGGAAGTTCTTGACAAAATGAAAGATTTTTCAAACAGAGTTCGTGAGGGGCAATGGGTAAGCGATGAATTCTTTTGGTTGATTAACAATGTGTGAGCTTACAGCTCGGGGCTACCGGGAAGCCTTTAACTGACGTTGTGGCGATTGGAATTGGTGGAAGTTTTTTAGGACCATTGTTCGTTCATACTGCAATGCAAACTGGTTTGCTTCGACTGAAGATGTTTCTCTTCTTTTGTTAAAATTCTTTTGTTTCGCGAAAACATTGCAGAGCCTGGGTGTGCACGACTTGCCAAGGGACGCAGATTGCTATTGTAAGTCTCAAAGTTCCTCGTTGATCCTAGACTGGGTTTTTTATTTATAGCTTTTGTGCAGTTTATCTAATGTGGATCCTATCGATGCTGCATTTACCTTGAAGGGTTTAAGCCAGGAAACCACTCTAGGTGATTACTCACGCCTTAACAATTTATTCGAAGCTCATTTCAATCGCTTTAGTTGTCATTGTTTCGAAGACATTCACAACGGTGGAGACAATGCTAAATGCTCGTACGATGAGAACGTGGATCACATCTACACTTGGGCAAGTTTCTTATTATTTTTCTCCAGTCGTAGAATCTGAGCACGCCTTTACAAACGTTTCAGTCCAGCGGCTGTTGCAAAGCATATGGTGGCTGTCAGTACCAATTTGAAGGTAACCAACACGATTTCATGAGAAACTTACTTATGGAGTCTATGCTTTTGTAGCTCGTTAAAGAATTTGGCATTGATCCTGCTAATGCATTTGCTTTCTGGGACTGGGTTGGCGGTCGCTACAGTGGTACGTAGGCTTCTCTCTTTTCACTTCTTCTTCCCCAAAGTTATGCTAGTCCTTTGAGCAGTTTGTAGTGCTGTTGGAGTTCTTCCTTTAGCGCTCCAGTACGGCTTCGCCAACGTTAACGAGTGAGCTACATTCGCTTTGTTTTGGCTTTTCAATCAGTACTGAACTTCTATCTTTGAAGGTTTTTAGAAGGCGCTTCCAGTATAGACAGCCACTTTCGAGTTGCGCCTTTTGAAAGAAACTTGCCAGTACGTGCTTGCGAGCCTACTAATCCACAGATAAAGCACACCCAAATTCATGTTATAGTTACATTTTTACAGGTCCTATTGGGTCTCATAAGCGTATGGAACGTTTCTTTTCTCGGTTGTCCAGCCAGGGTAAGCTTTTCCAAGCTCCAATTTCTTGGTTCAATTCTATGTTGTGTATTTTTCGCAGGCCATTCTTCCTTATTCGCAAGCTTTGCAAAAATTTGCTCCGCACATTCAACAAGTACGTGATTCAATGAATTCAAATTTAAAGTATACTGGTATGATCTTATGCGCTCGTTTGCAGTTGATTATGAATATAACATATTTTTCTCATCTTATGCGCTCGTTTTTGCAGTTGAGTATGGAAAGCAATGGAAAGGGTGTTAGCATTGACGGGACTCCGCTACCTTATGACACTGGAGAGATTGACTTTGGTGAGCCAGGAACAAATGGACAACACAGTTTCTATCAGCTGATTCACCAGGTACGTTTTTAAGTATGTGGGTCTTTCGTTGATGATCGAGGGAGACTTCATGTAGGGACGAATCATTCCCTGCGATTTCGTTGGCATAATCAAGAGTCAGCAGCCAATGTATTTGTCAGGTCCGTCTAATCATCTCAGCTCTTCATTTTTCTTTTTTCTTTTCTTAAACCGTTGTATTTGTGCAGGAGAACCAGTAAGCAATCACGATGAACTAATGTGCAACTTCTTCGCGCAGGCTGATGCTCTTGCTTACGGCAAGGTATTATCTCTTTCTTTCTCGTGTTCTTTCCTTCCTGGTTTTGGATCTTTATGTTTTCAACAGACCATTTTTTTCTTGCGTATAGACTCCAGACGAGCTTCGAGCTGAGGGTGTTCCGGACAGTCTTGTACCACACAAGGTGAAAATTCTATCTTTCTTTCACTTTATCCTCTGCTTGTTATGCGTTGTTATTGGTGCACAGAGTTTTACAGGAAATCGTCCGTCTTTAAGCCTGCTGCTGCCGAATCTCACGCCATATACAATTGGCCAGGTACACAAAAATTCTTGAAGATCTTGCATCCATTTGTCACTTGGAGAACGTTTGCAGCTCCTTGCGATTTACGAGCACAGGATTGCGGTCCAAGGTTTTATCTGGGGCATCAACTCTTTTGATCAATGGGGCGTCGAGCTTGGAAAGGTGATTCTTTCTCCAAATAGTTCCATTACTTTGTCACTCACTTCTGCACCATCAAAAAACCAGTCTTTGGCGGGAAAAGTTCGTAACCAGATGCATCTGTGGCGGACCAAGGGAAAAGTTGTGGAAGGCTTCAACTACAGCACTACCACACTCCTCAATCGCTACCTGAAGGTCTAGAATTCCCCTCTTCTGCCAGTTTTGCTCTTAGCTATTCTGATCTTGCTCAGGGCAAGGCTCAAATATATTCAGCATCATATGGTGTTTTCCCCAGCGAGGTGATTCGGAAGAATTAAGGGAATTACAAAAGATCTAAAGTGAGCAATAAACATGAAAATTTGGAATCTGATTCTACAAGATTCCAAGATTCCAAGTTTCCAAGATTAGTTTCACTGGGAGCAGCAAGAGACAAAGGTGGTGAAGGCGATTGTTCCTTGTACACAGTCCAAGCTTTCTAGGGCGCTCATCTTATCTCCTTAGATACTACGTAGATTCGCAGCTTTACTACCAGGTGCAAAACAAATTACCCGAGTTTTGTGATAAGGTTGTGGGAGTTTATTTACAAGTAGATAGAGTCCTTAGCTCTGGAGCTTTGCATAGATTGTAGGATTTTTAAGTGAAGGGGCACTGCCCCGACTAGTCAGCTTGGAATGATCAGTTTGATGAGCTACTGATTTCATCCTAGTGCTCACAAGATTCCACCATCTTAACAGCTTTGTGGACAGCAGAATTTCAGAGCCATCAGCGAGAACTTCGTCAGCCACCAGAGTTGCTCAAGCTGCTGCAGATTTCTCCTCGTCGTTTCGCTTCTGTGACTTGCAGAAAACGGGTGCTGACCATTCCTCTGAGGCACAACCAAAAGTCGCCGCTCACTGGTCAGTTTTTCTGGTGGCGCTGATGAGAATATTCCCCCGTTCTATGCACTGTTCATTGAAACCTAAGTGATGTGAAGCATGAGCAGCCGGGAAGGCGTGCAGTGGCAAAGATGGCCAGTCTTGGACACCCAAGTCCCGGAGCGCTTGAGCCTGGATGCTTGCCGAGCGCTCAAGAACGTCGGTGAATTCTTCCAGAGGCTGGCCCCCCAGCTGGAAGCGATCGATCGTCTCGTCACTCAGGTACCAGCATCAGCTAGAGCTAGATCTGGTAAAACTTCCAGGGCGAGGAATCCTCTAGCACCCCTCGTAGCTCACATCCAGGGACTGGGCCGAAAGGATGGTGGTGAAGCAGCGGAGTTATCCCAGGAAGAACAAGGGGAGGCCGAGCAGCGAGCTCTAGCTCTGGCTCTATCCAGCAGGAAAAAGGCCGTGATCCTCGAGTTCTACTCGCCCAAGTGCACGCTCTGCAAGTCGCTGCTGGATCTGGTGCTGGAAGTGGAGCGCAAGAACCAGGACTGGCTGGGCATCGTCATGGCGGATGTGGATAACAAGAAGTGGCTTCCAGAGGTACTATGATCTTGTGTTTGATCCTCCAAACTTCATGGCGTTTCGATCATCTCTCCAGGTGCTCTACTACGACATCAAATACGTCCCATGCTTCGTTCTCCTGGATTCGCGAGGAAGAGCTCTCGCAAAGACGGGAGTTCCATACTCTCGCCTCCATGTCGTCACGGGGCTATCGTATTTACTGGAGAGCGTGAGACCCATCAAAAGTGGATGATCGACCGATCGATCGATCGATCGATGGGCTAGAATTTTTTTTCCTTGACTAGAGCTAAGATCTTTTTTCTTGCTTGCTAGAAGTTAAGATTTCTGTTTCCTTTTCTTTCTTTTTTTCTTATTAGACTAGAGGAAAATCTAGGATCGATCGATGGCTTGACTAGAAGCCAAATACTAAAGTGTTTTCTTTCTCGCTAAGTTCTAGAAACTAAATCTTTTTTTTCCCTCGCCGTCCAATTAGACGAGAATGCTAGGCACAATGTCACTATCTAATATCGAGTCACCACACGAACAAAAGCGATCATGACAGGTTAGGGTTTTAGTTAGCGCTGCGCCATCGTCGCGGCGCTGGGCTGGTATGGATGGAATCTCGCGCGTGCTGGTGGTAAGTACGTCGATTCCTTTCCAATGCCAGGCCCCGCGTTGAATCGGCGCGCCTGGAAATCCCTCGCTACCACTGGTGCCACTGGCGATTTCCTCTGATTTCCATTGACGAAATCCAGCAGTGTCATTGACGATCAGTCCCCCAATTGTGGGAGAAATCGCGCGAAAAACTCTCCGCTATGCTTCTTCTTCCTTCCAATTCTGGCCTGGGCTTCTTCTCCTCTTTCTTTCGCGAAAGAAATTGTTTCCATAACCGACTGGGCTTAGTTTTTGGCTGATAACTGTCGTGCTGGGCGATTTCTTCCTCTCTTTTTTCTTCTCTTCTTCCTCTTTGCGTGAGTTCCAGCATGAGATGACCATCCTCTGGAACTGGCTCTTTGTCGAATTCTTGCTCGAGCTTGTCCAGGGAAGAGTTCTAGTCATGTTTTCGCGGAGGTGTGTCAAGAAGGTGGAGAATGTGGAGGATTCCAGGCAGCTGGGCTTCCTGGATCTGCCAGAGCTCGTCATGGAAGGCATCCTCACTCGCCTCCCCGCGGTGGCGCTGTGCCAAATGGCTGGAGTGTGCAGGGAATTGCGGAAGAAGTGCCGGAGCAACCATCTCTGGGAAGCTCTCGTCTACGAGAAATGGGGGAAAGTCACTGGCAGGCTGGCTTTCGCGGAGTGGCAACTCGGCCTGGCCGCGAGAGAGGAGTGTGGAAGCGAGCCTTGCTCTCGTTCCTCGGGGATTTGGCTGTGGCCGCTCTCGTGCATTCTACCGGTGTCGTGGATGAATCCACAGGCGCAGCGGCGGAGCAAAGCGGCAGTGGGCGAGAATTCGCTCATGGCGTGGTACTGGGATCTGGAAACCGGGCGATTTCGCTTCCCAGCTCAGGTCTACAACCGAGAGGTGAGAGCCAACTTCGCGAAAACTTTGGACGAGTTCCTCACGGAAGCGTTTGCTTGTTTGCTCTTCTTTTCCTCTTTGCTTGCACAGAACGGTCACGTCGGATTCATGCTTTCGTGCTACGATGCCGAGGTGAGCTACAACAGCGCCACTGACGCGTTCCTCGCAAGGTAAAAGAGCGTTTTTTCTGTGATACAAAGCTCGTCATCCAGGAAAGAGTGCTTGAATCGCGCTGGTGTTGTGAAGCTTCAGCTATCCTCCACACGGCCCGCGCACCAGTGTCTACGAGGAGGACGTTCCCTGGGAACGAGTCCGAGCTCCTCCAGTGGACACGGCCGCTCACGAGCTCCACGCCTCGGACTGCCTCCACGATCTGCGACCGGGGGATCACATCGAGGTCCAGTGGAGACGCAACAGAGACTTTCCATATGGTCAGTACGAGAAGCTCCGCCATCTCTTTTTTACCCGTGACTTCTTCCTGCCAGGATGGTGGTATGGAATCGTTGGCCACACGGACTTGTGCCCGAGAAACCACCAGTGCCAGTGTCACCTTCACGGTAAGTTGGTGGTCCGAGTTTCTTTTCTCGCTTTTTTCGCAGCAGGATGATGAGATTCTTCGTTGATTTGTTTTCGTTGGTTGTAGAGATTGTCTGGTTGGAATTCAATCAATACACGCTCGGATCGAGATGGCGCAAGGCTCCTATCAACAGAGCCAATCACTGCGAAGAAGGCAACGAAGGTGAGGGCTTCTATGGTGGCGTACGAAAGCTGCGCACAAAGGAGGAGATTTCTATCTGGACCAAACTCTGGCCAAGCGAGAAACTCGAGTAGAAAAAAGGAAGAGTCAATCAAAACCATTCTACTCTAGCAGGAATAACAGTGTACAGATTGGAGGGGGAGAGATGTATTCATACGTATGTGTAATGCGACAAAAGGCCGCATTGGTGGACTTATTCGTTTTCTTGGCTCAATCGATCGGTTTTGGTTGGCTGTGACTGCAAGGCAGCGAGCAAGCTTGATTGAGTTCACGTCAAGAGACAAAGAAAAAGTTAAAAAAAAAAAGGGAGATTCTTTGCAAAGCGTACGCCGGGGACTTCTCTGCACGTTCATAATGCTTGAATGACGCTCCTCGTGATCCTCTCGTGAGCGTCCTCCTGTCAAGTGTACACGCAAGAACTCAACCTTTTGTGTTTCATTCTAAAAATCGCAATTTTTTACCTCGGCTTTCTCGGGGACTATCATTTTCTCGCTAGTGATTGTCTCGTACAAATGGATGTATCTGGAAAAACCGGTCAGCTAAGTGCAAAGGAAAGAGAGTGTGTTTCGTAAATCACCTCCATGCGAGTTCAGTCACTAGTTCGACTGGAGCGTCCGGGAGAACCTACAAAGCACACGGGTGTTTGGAGAAAAAACGAAAAAGTACGACCACGAGCCAGACCTTGTCTTTGTAAGGATTGCAATTGTCCTTGAACCAGAGTCGAAGGAACTCCTGCTTAAATAGTTCGAAAAAGAGCCATTGGTAAAAGACACAACTAAATACCTTGTCAATGTTTTCAGGCTCCAGACCCTGTTTCATTCGCTCCTCATATGATCCAGCGATCCAATATCGGCTCGAGTCAGGCGTGTGCACCTAGAAAAGTAAAAGTTCAGACTTTTGATTGACATTCCCATGGTTAGAAAGGTCGACCTCGTCAATCAAACATATTGATCCATCTGCCATCTTCCCAAACTCATATTTCGTATCTACAAGCAGCAAGCCGTGCTTCAAGGCAACTTCCTGCACAAAGCATGCAAGGAGTGTAAGGAAAAAAAAAACAAAACGTTTCTCTCCCACCTGGCCATAAGCAAAAAGCGCAAGAGCTTTACTGGAAACGCTTTTATAGTCAGCCTCGGACATCAGGCCTTGCTCCACAATCTAAAGATTCAATGTTAAAATGAGTACAGCATTTAATGCTGAACGTCACTAACTTTTCACCTCTTCGCCGGAAATTGGCCGATCATGATCGTCAGACTTTGTAGTCGGAGTGAGCATGAGATAATCGAGACGCTGGTTTTTTATCAGCCCTGGCAGCAAGAAAACTCAGGCAAACAGTTCCTTAACGAAGAATGAAAACAAGAAAGAACCTTCAGGGAGATCGTTCCCGCAATAATACCGGATGCCTTGGTTGTAAACTGTCCACAGCGACGTGCTCGTGCTTCCAGTGATATAACCTCGGACTACAAGAAAAAGAAGAAAAAACAAAGACAGGAGAGACTTTAATAGGCCCGAGCGTCGAGAAAAAAATCACTGTTACCAACGAACTCCACCGGAAACACTGCACATTTCCTTGCAATGGTGACGTTGGGATCAGGAGCCGAAACAAAGGCATTTGGAGTGATGTGTCTTGTGTTATTAAACCACCAAACGCTTGTCTGGTTCAGGACCTAAGGAAACAAGACAAAGACTTTTTTTTCCACTGGAAAAGTAACGAAAAAAAGCATAAACAAACCTGTCCTTTGAAGGGAATCGAAGCCAAAACTCGATCAAACGCGCTCATTCGATCAGTGGTTACGATTACCAAATGATCCTTTGTTTCATACACATCTCTCACCTGTAGCCAGTGGCAGGAATCATCGATTTTAGTTAGTGGGGGCTAAAAAAATATTTCATACCTTTCCTCGCCGCTTAGGACCCAATCCAGGAACAGTCTCGTCCAGCCTCGTCTCTGTGAGACAATGTGGCACAGCCTCTCGAATCGCCTGCGAAATCTCGGGGCGAGAGACCGCGCTCTTCAAATCCACGCCCGCGGTCGCCGCGCAGCACAAATTCCTCGAGCGCAGAGCAAGAGAAGCGGCGCCCGTGCCACTGGCGAGCGCCGCTGGAGGCATCGAGAGAGAGATCGAGAAATCGGGAGAGCGCATTCCGCCAGGCTCTCGCCGCAAACCCCTAAACCCTAACCAAGCTACATTGACAAGTCATTCCGACAATAATTGAAAACCCTAAAAGAGCCCATTGACAAGTCTGCATCCACGTGGCAGGTTGATATTTGATAAGAGTGTTGTATTCTATAGGCAGGGGCTTCCAAAAGTCTATGCTTCGTGGAAATATAAATGGGGGGATGCTTGCTCCATTTTGTGGCCGCCAAGAGCTATAGGGCTCTCACGTCTCTAACGTTAGCATTCTGTCATTAAAATCGGAACAATATGGTAGCCCAAGCACAGGAGCAAGAATTAGGGAAAATCGCTTTAAGCGAAGGCGCCAGGGCACCGGCGCCAAAGAGCGCCATGGAGCAGGAGCTTCTGATTGAGGATGCTAGCCTCGATCCCGCCGAGCGCCGCCTCAATCAGCTGGGATACAAGCAGGAGCTCCGCCGCGAGATGGTAAATATTTCGCATTCCTCACATTCTAGGCCTTGCGACGTCCTTAGTGTCGTGATTCGTGATCTTGAGAGGATTGTATGCTGCCGCTTTGTCCGTGATTCATGATCTTGAGAGGATTTCGATCGGTATGCTGTCGTCTTTGTCCGTGATTCTTGATCAAGTCGGCATTTTGCCGGTTCCAAGCAATGCCGGGATGGGATTCGATGATTGCCTGTTTTTCCTTCCTGTCCTTTTTTTTCTTTCGATTGACTGGAGCAGTGTTCTTCGTCAATGATATTGGGCGAGCGACTCGCCCGATCTAATTCGAGTGTGGCAGTCGGTGCTGGCGTTTCTTTATTCACTGTGGCTTGACTTTCGTGCAGACGTTGCTGAAAATCATGGCAATCTCATTCTCCACAATGACGCTCTTCACAGGAATTACGCCGCTAATTGGTCCTAGCTATGCGTACTTTGGACCGGCCGCAACAGTCTGGGGATGGGTCATCGTAACCTTCTTTACGTGGTTCATTGGTTTCGCTATGGCGGAAATTTGCTCCTCGTTCCCTGTGAGTAGAAGAAAAATATTCTCGTTTGGCTTTACTCATTGCGTGGCTTCTTTCGCAGACAACGGGGTCGCTGTATTTCTGGGCAGCTCACTTGGCTGGGCCAAGATGGGGTCCATTGTCTTCGTGGTACTGTGCTTGGCTTGAAGCGATTGGACTCATCGCAGCCATTGGAACTCAGGCAAGTTTTGGAGCTTTAGCATGAAACTTTCAACTGGCCGCTTAGATATTCTTCTTAATATCATCAGGCTTACGCAGGAGCTCAAGCCTTACAAAATATAATACTGCTTGCGTCTGGAACTGCGAAGGGCGGAGGATACCTTGCTCCTCGTGGTGTTTTTCTAGCCATGTACGTTGGTTTCACTCTCGTCTGGGCCGTCTTGAACACATTTGCTCTGAACGTGATTGCGCTCATCGACATTGTCTCAATGTGGTGGCAGGTTCGCGATCTTTTGGTGCTTGAGCTTTGTCCCTCTTGCTCACTCCTTGCATTTTTCTGGACACAGGTTATTGGTGGCGGACTTATAGTGATTCTTCTGCCTCTGGTCGCCCCGAAAACTCAGTCAGCATCGTTTGTGTTTACGAAGCTTGAGACGTTTCCAAGCATTACCGGCATCGATAACAGGGCATACGGCTTCATCCTCTCTTTGTTGGTCAGCCAGTATTCCCTCTACGGCTACGACTCAGCTGCACACTTGACGGAAGAAACAAAAGGTGCGGACATCAACGGCCCCATTGCGATTCTTTCGTCCATAGGACTAGTCTCCGTTTTTGGGTGGGCATACATACTCGCCTTGACTTTTAGCATCCAGGTAAGGCAGCACTTTCCACTTTCTTTTCTGTAGCGGACTCATTCTTCTTTTCTTCTGTTGCTGTTGATGACAGGATTTTACGTACTTATTCGATCCTAGCAACGAGACCGCTGGAAAATACGTCCCAGCACAGATACTCTACGACGCGTTCCACGGGCGCTACCACAGCAGCATTGGAGCAATCCTGCTGCTGATCATCATCTGGGGCTCCTTCTTCTTCGGGGGCCTCTCAATCACCACCAGCGCCGCTCGAGTTGTAAGTTTTCTCGTCAGTCCTACTTCACTGCTTTCGCTTTCACCGAGGAATGACCAAGTCGCCGCCGCGTTTACAGGTCTATGCTCTTTCACGCGATGGTGGAATCCCATACTCTCGAGTCTGGCGAGTGGTCCACCCCACGCGAAAGGTCCCGGCCAACGCAGTCTGGCTGTGCTCGGCCCTTTGCATCCTGCTGGGCCTGCCAATTCTCAAAGTCGACGTCGTCTTCACGGCCATCACGTCCGTGTGTACCATCGGCTGGGTGGGAGGCTACGCGGTCCCGATCTTCGCCCGGATGGTGATACCGGAGGCCCAGTTCCACCGCGGGCGATTCCACCTCGGCCCCGCCAGTAGAGTCGTGTGCCTCGTCTCGTTCCTGTGGATCTGCTACACCGTCGCCGTGTTCCTCCTCCCGACCGTCTACCCCATCGAGCTCAAGACGTTTAACTACGCGCCCGTCGCGCTGGGAGCGCTGCTCGCGGCGATCACGCTGTGGTGGATTGTAGACGCGCGAAAGTGGTTCAAGGGGCCCGTCCGGAATATAGATGACTTCCAAAACCACAAAGTATGAACTGGATCTATGTTCGCGCCCAAATTTCAAATTCAAATTTAAAAGCGGCATATTCGATCTTTAAAAAAACTGATGCTTTGAGACTTTTCATTTCTTCTAGAGTCAAACTCTCGCGCGCGTGGCCGTGTTGACTCATCATCAAAGAAACCACCGTGTGCCCAATGGGCGCTCTTGATTGATCGATCCAGCAAATAAACGGTAGCCACTAAAGATTTCTCCATCACATCCTCTTTCTTCTTTCGAGGATCCATGGCGCCCACTATCGGCATTGGCGTTCCCATTCTAATCGTTCTCCTCTTGGGATCGATCGCCCCTCTCCAGCTCCACGCCGCCTCCTTCAACGAGAGCTGCCGCGCCACCGTCGATCCCCCCTGCCAAGCGCTGCTCGCTTACAGATCCAGCTCGCTCTCCCCCACCATCGCCAACATCTCCAGCCTCTTCTCCATCCCCGTCCAGGCCATCCTCGCTGCCAACGCCTTCTCGCCCTCGGACGATCCCTCCGCCCGGCTCTCAACTGGGGAGACCCTCCGGATTCCAGTCCCTTGCTCCTGCGCCGCCAATGGGCAGCGATCGGGCAACACCACCTACACCATCGCCCCGGGCGACTTCCTCTTCCAGATCGCTAACAACAGGTACGGAGGACTCGTCACCATAGAAGAGATCGCCGCCGCCAACGGCATCGTTGATCTGGACAAGATCTTGGCCGGGCAAAACCTCACCATTCCGTACCCCTGCTCTTGCCGCGGGAATTCGTTCGGCGGCCGCGATGCGCTCTTCATGGCGTACGTGGTCCAGGATGGGGAATCCCGCGAGGGTTTCTACCGGAGCTACAATCTCTCGCAGGAAGAGTTTGATCGCTTGAATCCTTCGGTGAATGTGTCACAGGCGGGCGCTGTGATCGAGCTTCCAGTTCCAGGTAACGTCTTGTACGTTACAAAGACTAGCTTGATGATCTTGTGGTGTGCATGTGTGTAGCTTGCAGGGCTAGATTCAATCGAAGCGCTCTGGATTCCAACCTGACTGTGGCGTCTGGAGGCTATGCGATCACTGCCAATGGTTGCGTCCAATGCAATTGCGATGGAACAGAGTATGGAAATCTTAGAGCTTTTCTAGAGTATCAAGGCTTGATTTCATGATCCAGGCTTCACTGCACGAGAGCTCCTACGGCTCCGCGGAATTGCTCGCTTGGCTGCCGAAACTCTCGTCTCCAAATCGGCAACTTTAGCACCGGGGCGAATTCCTCCGGAGGCTGCACGATCGAGTCGTGTCTCTACGATGGATACAACAATCGCCAAATCTTCACAAGGTGAGTGTCATTTTTATTTGTCCTGCCGAGATCATCTTTTGGATGATTGATCGAAACCAGGATCGAAAGAAACGCAACAAGCGGTACTTGTGGAGACGTCCAAGCGCCGCCATCCTTCGCGTACGCCCCCGAGGGAGATGGAATTCCCGAAGCATTTGCGCCATCATCTTTACCCGGGGCAGAGGGAATTCCACCTCCAACACCAGGAGCAGGATCAAACTCTCCGGGGCAAACGGCACCACCTCCATCATCCAGCTCCATCAAAATCTCCATCGCTTACCTCCTTCCCGTCGTCCTATCTGGTTTGTCCAGCATTGTCCTCTACACAATCTAATCTTGACAACAAAATTTTGAAATCGAATATTCTCTCCCATCTGTTTCTTTTGACAATTGCTACCACGAAGAACAGGAATGTTTTTATGAATTCCATAAGTTTTGCACTCGCTGGAGCAGCGCATGCGTTCTGCTATGAAATATTGGACTTTGTAATATATTAATATATATTTAATTTGATAAGTTTTTAATCTGCTGCCACATTTTGAGTATTATGAAAACATAAGTGTGAAAAATTAATATAGGTTTGTTTCAGAAAAATAAATTTGTCAACATAAATTTTTATCTGAAAGTTCTCTTTACCAGGATCGAAAGAAGAAGCGGTACTTGTGGAGAGAGAGCGAATTCCATCTCAAGAGGAGAAGATCTCTTAGTCTCAGCGTTGTGTAAATCTCAGGAGCCCTAATTTTGACCGCAAAATTTTGAAATAGAATATTCTCTCCCAATTAGGGTTTGGGGATTTTCCAATGGAGCGCCATGGCGACGAGGGCGGGGGCTTGCTGGATTCCAGTGGCGATGCCGGCCTCGTCAGGAAGCTCGGCATGGTCGATCTCATACTCCTCGGCATTGGCGCTTCCATCGGCTCCGGCATCTTCGTCATCACTGGGACGGTTGCTCACGACGCCGGCCCTGGTAAATCTCTCTCTTTGTTTCTTGGGAGGAATTCTTCGATGAATTGCAGGTGTTGCGGTGAGCTTTGCGCTCGCTGGAGCCGCGTGCGTTCTAAACGCGCTGTGCTATGCGGAGCTCTCCTCTCGATTCCCGGCGCTTGTCGGTGGAGCCTATCTCTACTCCCGCGAGACTTTCAACGAGCTCGTGGGGTTTCTGGTGTTCGTCCATCTCATGTTCGACTACCACGTCGGTGCTGCCAACATCGCCCGGAGTCTCGCCAGCTACCTCGCATCCTTGCTCCAAAACTTGTTCCCAGCGCTCAGGAAAACCATGCCGCTGTGGATCGGACCCGGGGGATTGGAGCTGCTCAATGGATGGCTTTCGATCAACGCTCTCGCTCCAGCTCTTTTAGCGATGCTCTCGGCTGTGCTGTGCATGGGCGTCCGCGAGTCTGCCACTCTCAACACTGTCATGACGATCAACAAGGTCCGAAGAACTTTGTGCTGTTCTTTTCATTTTTGTGATATTTGTTGCTCTTCTTCCCTTCAGGTGTGCATTGTTTTGCTGGTGGTTGCTGTGGGAATTTTCCAAATCGATGTATCAAACTGGACACCTTTTGCTCCGACTGGATTTTCCGGGATTGTCACCGGAGCAACTGTGGTCTTCTTCGCTTACGTCGGGTTTGATGCTGTTGCAAACTCTGCCGAGGAGAGCAAGAATCCCAAGGTAAACTCCTACCTTTTTTTTCTTGTGACAAACTCTGATGGTTTTCTCCTCCTCTCGTCTTACATCCAGCGGGATCTGCCTATCGGTATTATTGCAAGCTTGCTGGTTTGTGCGGTGCTATACATTGCAGTTTCTTTGGTTGTCACCGGCATGGTTCCTTATTATCTTCTCGACGGGGAAGCTCCTCTTGCCAATGCATTCTCCGGCAGAGGATTGAAATTCATCAGCGTGCTGATTGACATCGGTGCCGTTTTCGGCCTCACTACTACTTTGTTGGTTGGCCTCTACGTCCAGGTAATCTCAAGTTCTTCCTTTTCATCTTCTTCGTTCTATCACTGGCATCGTTGTTATTGCGAGGCAGTCCAGACTTTACTTGGGACTTGGCCGAGACGGACTACTGCCTTCGATTTTTGCAAGGATCCATCCAAAACACCACACTCCCGTCTATGGCCAGCTCTGGGTGGCCACAGTGGCTGGAGTTTTAGCACTGGTCTTGGACGTCAGTCACCTCTCACACATACTCTCGGTTGGCTGCTTGGTGAGAAGTCGAAACAAAGCTTCATTCTTATCAATTTTCTTTCTTGATCTTCTCTTTCTTTGCAGGTTGGATATGCTACCGTCTGTGCCTGTGTTGTAATGCTGCGCCTGAGAAACGAGGAACAAAGAAACCAACGTGATGAACAACCGCGGTGGCGTGAAGCGGTGTTTTGTTTGCTCGGAGTCGCGGTGCTTGGCTTGATCGTCGGGATACTTGTTCGATTCAAAGTCCACTTCGCATTTTCAATCGCAGGCCTCGTTCTAGCTGCCCTGGTCGCAGTTCCTCTCTACACTAGACAGGTAAAAAAACGCTCTTCTTGTTCCTTCTGATGTTTTGTTCTTGATTTTTTCTAGGAGTACAGGATTCCACAGGGATTTCCATGCCCATGGGTGCCTGCAGTGCCTCTAGTGAGCATTTTCTTCAACATGGCATTGTTTTCTCAGGTAAAGAGAGAATGCTTTTCATGATTGCTAAACTCTTGGTTCTTTTTCAGCTCCATTGGGAAGCTTTTGTGAGATTTGTGATCTTGAGCGTGGCCGCCGTGGCTTTCTTTTTCTTATATGGAAAGAAGCGCCCTCCATACCAGAAAGCCAGTGTAGAAGAACACTAAGCGAACTATATAAAACTTTAGATTTTTCTCTCAAAGGGTGTTAAATTTTAGGGCTTGTGGGGCTAGCTATTAGGGTTAGGGTTTAGTAGATCGAACGGCTAGGACGGCTTGGGCATTAGGGTTCTTGTGTGCGCAGGGATGGTGAAGGCGGCGAAGGAGGATGCGGCCAAGCCCAAGTCCAAGTACTACCCAGCCGACGATGAGCCAGTGCGCCGCACTCTCAGACGCAAGCTCCGTCCCACGAAGCTGAGGTGAGCGCGAGAGATTTTCTCTCTTTTCGATTTGGGATTTTGGGGAATTTGATCCCGAGCTCGCAATTCCAGATCGAGCATCACACCCGGCACGGTGCTCATCCTCCTCGCGGGTAAATACAAGGGGAAGCGCGTCGTCTTCCTCAAGCAGCTCACATCTGGGCTCCTCCTCGTCACGGGTACTCTAAAATCTTTCCATTATTTGTTTCTTCTCTTTGGGTTTTCAATGGATATTTTTCTCGCAGGGCCGCGAGCTCTCAACGGCGTCCGGCTCAAGAGGGTGAACCAGGCCTACGTGATTGCCACTTCCACCAAGATCGACATCTCTTCCTTGGATGTCGCCAAGTACGACGATGGCTTCTTCAAGAAATTGAAGCAAGGGGAGGAGGTGACCCCTGAGATGAAACAGGTACACAGGAAATCCATCCGACGCTTTGTAACTTACGTTTGTTTTTGTGTTTCCAGGCGAGAAAGGAAGAACAAGAGGCCGTGGACAAGGTCGTGGTCGGCGTGATCAAGCAGGGTGAGCCCGAGTTGGCCCAGTACATCTCGGCGAGGTTTAGCTTGAAGCGTGGAATGAAGCCTCACGAGCTTGTGTTCTAGAAAACTTGAGCGAGCTTCTTTCATTCAGTGATAACTCTAAAGATCAAGCATTTTGGAACTGTTTTCTCTGTCAAACTGCAAAAGTTTTGCTCTAAGGTTCACGAGTTTTCCAGTTTCGTATCTCATAGATCTGGCTTCACGTCTTTGAGTTTCTCCTTGAGCTGGCCATTCTACTTGAAACAAAAGTGAGAAACGATCACGAGAAGAACCAAGAGAAATATGGAATGCTGCTTACCCGATGCATATCTGTTACTATGTCACAGCCACCAACGAACTCTCCTCGAATATAAAGTTGTGGAACAGTCGGCCATTTGCTGGAAAGAAACTATAAGCAGGGCGAAAAAACATGACTAGAATCAAAAGCACACACCTGAAAGACTTCACACCATCCCTGAGCTCGGGATCTTCGAGCACATTTCTAGAACTGAAAGGCACCTCTGCAATGCAAAGGAACAAAACAACCAGGAGCATGATTGAAAGCTACGGTGCTTTTGTTCGATCACGTACCGTAATGCTTGAGAATTCTGACCACCATCGCACTGAATCCACACTGCGGAGCGTCGGGAATGCCCTTCATGTAAACCATCACGGGATTCTCCTTGATGTCCTGGATGGACCAACGATCCAATCCAAACAGTTGAGTCTATTTCCTTCTTTCTTTCCTCCACTCGATCACTCGATTACCTTCTCGATGGTATCGTGCACTGATCCACTCGGGGTCTTCACCACTGGCTTGAAATCGTCGTGGGATTCCGCGTCGTCTCGCGCGGGCGCCTTGAGCGCCGCCGCCTTGGCGTCGTCCTGCGCATCCGTGTCCCGCCCCGCCGTCGACAGCTGCGAGAATCGGCTGCTCCAAGCCCCTGCGCGGCACAATCACAATGCTGCAATCGACCGAAGCAAGGATCTACCAGCGCCCCGTGCTCCAGCAGCGCGCGTGAAGCTCATCGCCCCCATAGCCGCGCGCTTCATCATTGCTGCCGATTAGGGCTAAGTCACCATAAGCCCTAAAGTTAAAATGTACGATAAAATCTCCGTACTAAAGGATAACACTTTTAGGGTAAAAGCCTGATTGCCGTTGCTGATGTTTAAGAACTTAAGGCGTGATTGCGATGCCTAGGTTGTTGATCTTCCCATTGACAGTGATGGTGTTCTTTCCAGCCTCCTCACCATGGAGCTTGCGATGACAGTTCTTGATACCCACGGGGTTTTCAACCGGATGGAGAAGCACAGCACGGCACTTACACCATGAGCTTTAGAAGCTCTTCATAGGGGCTCTTGAATGCATTGTCCTCTTTGGATAGATGATAGATGACGATGGCTTCATACGCAGTAACTCGTGATGTGTGCGTGCCAGAAGAGAGTTCCCGTATGTGAATCCACAGTGAAGTTGTAGAGAAACGATTGGCCTCACTTGAGAGGACACTGCTGCGTGACCAGGGAGTTCCTTTAATTGCCGGGATTCCATGCCTGTGACACAATAACAGAAAGCTCATCACTAGTGGACCGACATCTACGGACGGGAAGTTCCTCGCAGCGGGCTGGGTGTTGCCATCGTCTTGGAAATTTTGGATAGATCTGGGAAGAACAATCTTGATTTTAGGGTCGGAGAATGATCCGTACCAGAACCCCTTTTTAATTAGCTTTTGAAAAAGGTATTTTTGCAAAATTTAAAAATCATGCAAATATTTATGGCAATTATATTTTGGTGTAAAGGTTGTCCTATGCCACAACTTTAGATAAGAAAACGTGAAACGACCTCACTGGGGATCGAACCCAGAATCTCTGGTTCCGTAGACCAGCGCCTTATCCATTGGGCCATGAGGTCAACTACGCAACAATTAAACTAATCACAATGTAAGGCCGAATGCTAAACAGAAGTAATATTCTTCTTAGATTCTAGCAGTGGAGCATCCAAAAGCGCTGGAATCGCCGTCCACTCGGCACAAGAGAGGCTTGTAGATCGTTGCCGATGATCGCGTGTTCTTCCGGGTGCTATGGAAACCCCTGGATGATCGCGACAAAGACCACCACCGGAATCTCACGGCTCTCTTGACCATATTGCAGCTCCTCCAAGCCTGGAAGGAAATCCAAGAAACCACGTTAGAACCCTAGAGGCGAGAGATCAATCTTTCTTACGATCTTTCCAAACGCCCAATTCGTGCCGCGGCTGTTCTTGCTCCGGATCGGCGATCGCTGGAACCAGGATGATCGCGGGAGCGGCGCCGGGCTCCAAGATGGGTATGGCACCGCGCAATCGGCCACTTTCTTGGCGAGGGCGTTCTTTTTCTTGGCTTGGCGAATCTCCGGCGCTAGATCTCCTCCCTCGTCCTCGCAACTCCTCGGCCTAGAGATCGCCCGGACGGTCTCCCAGATGTGCAGCGCCAGTAGCGCCCTGATCCATCGCGGGGCTTGATCACCATCGCCGGCGAAAGAGGTAGAACAAGAGCTCGTGGCGGAAGAGAAAGACGCATCGATCCTTGGGGAGGATGCCGAGGAAGAGCCCTCCACGGCGGTGCGATCTAGCGTGCTCGTGGGCGAGCATCGCTGCAGAGAACGCTGCTTCTCCTGCTCGTGATCCTGGTGCTGGAGCCGCGGCGGGAGCTGCAATTTTCTCGCGGCGCCATGGCCGCCAGGATCAAGAAGAGCATTGCCAGTGCTCGCCGCGGCGCTGACGTTCTTGGGCTTGCCTGGAACCTCCTCCCATTTGAATGGCACGAAGCAGTGGCTTCCCATCGATCTCCTGCTGGAATCCGGATGCTCGCGACGATCCAAGAGCGAGGAAGACGAAGAAGGCGAAGAAATCTCCCATGGCATCACCTGGACGACGAACTTGGCGGCTGGCGACGCGCGCAGATCGATACTGAGGTGCCGCCGGTGGTGCTGGTGGTGATTTCTCGCTGGATTCCCTGGCGGCGGTGGTAGCGGCAGTGGTTGCGCCGCCGGCGATAGGCTTGGCGATGATTTCTTCGTGTTCTTGGCCGAATCATCGACGCTGGTGAGCTTCTTCCTCGCGTGGTGGTGGAGCTCGTGGAGATGATTCAAGCTCGTGTCATCCATGGACACGGCCCTCTGCTTCGTCTTCCTGGATGACTCCATGAGGAAGAGCTCCTGGTTGCTCTTGATCATCCGGCGCCGCCTCTCGGCCTGGATCACTCCCCTGCTCTTGAGGACGATCGGCGAGGCGACCCCCGAGAGACCCTCGAGCAATCGCAGCTTGGTGGCGCTGTTCACGCCGGCGCCATCGTCACGGTTTCCACTTGGAGCAGCGGCAGCGCGCCTAGGATCCGCGGCGGCGAAAGAGAATGGCTCCACCGAATCCACGCAAATCCCCGACTTGCTCCTCAGTTCCACCAGCTGGGTCGATCCAAGCCCATCGCCGGAGAAGAGCGGCAGCCGCCAGCGCGCCTTGAATTCCGCGAGCTCCGCGCCACCCGTCAGCGCAATTGACACAAACCCTCCGTCCTCGATTTGTTCTTGTTCTTCCTCGCGACTCCCCTGTTCCTCGTGCGCCGCCGCCGGGTATAGCACCCACCTTGCGTGATCCATTTCGCTAATTTCTCGCGAACACCAATGCGATTTAGCCGCCGCGAATCCGACAAGCCAGGGATCAAAGAAATGGAACCCCGAGACCACACACGTCTCTCTCCCTCTCACTCTCTCACTCGATCACTCTCGATCAAGTTAGTGGGCGCTCAAATCTCATCACTCACCAGTCTAGGCAAGCAAGAACAAGCACTAAACTACTACCACGACTGCGCAGTACCACCGAAAGCGAAGCCTAGGATGGATCGCGCCATAGCCTGCCAGTTCTGTGCTCCTGTCATCCCGGATCAAGAGAAAAAGACGAAGAACTCCCCCTCTCTTTCCTTCACTCCTTCTCACTCCCCAGGCTTTTTTCTCTTCGCTGCGATAGAAATGTAGCTTCTTCTACGGTCGGCCTACGCTAAGATTCGTACGCAAAACAAAAAAAAAACACGAAAAGGAAAGAAACACCCAGTGACTGTTCTCTCAATCGCTCTCTCTTTTGTCTCGCGAAACAAGCTTTGCTTTCTTTGCTTTGCTTCTTTCGTTGGCTGAGCTCTTTACTTCTTAAGATAACCAAAAGGGCCAGCTTTCACATTTTATATATCCTTACTTTAATCAGGACTAATGCTTGATTTGGAAGCAAAAATGTGAATCCCTGCTTTCATTAATCTGCTCTGTCGCTGCACGGGCAGCCAAAAGTCAAGCCTCGCGGGCAAAATTTTTTGCAAATCGCCCACTCGGCGACACGACTCCACCCTTGCGCGCCAAGTAACACTAGTTTTTGAAAATCAAATCTTAAGCACTAGGGCAGACGTGTCAGCCGCGATCGCGGTCCATGTTGTCCTCGCTGTAGCAATCGTAGCCGTTGACCCTGAGGATAGCCACCCGTCTCCAAAGCCCAGAGGTCAGCATTACGGGGCTATGAACGATAAGCATAGCTTGATTTCAATCTGCTGATCAAGATCACGACACATATCAACTTCATGACCTAAAATTTCGCAAGCTTTTCTGATCGTCCGCCACCCAACCCAGCAGAAAATTAAGTTTTTTTTCTTTCTGGTGTGGGATGACCACCTGTGAACTGTCATCCACTTTGGAAGCCCTTCCTTTACTACGGATCTGATTCCCAGTGAGTGGGCTCCCTCTCTTTCACTCTCTCTTTTCTTCGAAGTTTTATAGCTCTTGCAGTTGCCATGATCGATCTCCACGGCCAAAGGAGCTCCCTTTTCTCCCTTTCGGTGGATCCCAATTTCCAAAGTGTCGAGCGGCACTGCTCGCGCTGGCCACCTCCTGAACGAGAGGAAAAACTTGTCTCGTGCCTGCCAAGATGGAAAGTTATATCGGGATTTGGAGCTAGCGTTTGGACAGAAATATACCTCGCAATGACAATGTTATGTGCTGTTTTAGATCTTGTGATTCTCAAGAAGACATATAATCCAAACAGTGCTATCAATTTCGCTGAGCCACAATTGTCTTATTTTCTCGAGTGGAACCCAAAAATCAGCCCAAGCGCGATTGAATCTCTAGAAAGTTATCGATGCCGTGTGAGGTTGGGGATCAACACCATATTTTCGTCACCCCCGAAACTTCCATTCTCTTGCCCGTGTAGAAGAATTTGATCCCCTGTGTTGTGGCCGAATCTATGTATCGGGCAAGCAAAAGCTATACTGGCTAGCGATCGAGACTGGCTGGTGGCAACGCTATCTCACCAAAAAGATGGAAAAAATAAAGAGACACGAAAAGAGAGGAAAAAATCAAGGCAAGGTGCGTGTCAAGGAAAACATAACAAAATCGTCAAGCAAAGAAACTATGGTCGATCATTGTCGGCCACATCGAAAACCCCTGTCCTTTTTCTTTCGAGTTCTTTAGTTTGAAAAATCTTTTGCGGTCCCAGCCGTTGGATTGCGAGCCGGGAGTTCTAGGCCGTCCGTTTGTCACCCACATTTTTTTCCATGGCGTCGTCCATTCTTCTCACTTCGAATGGCTTGCGCGCCAGCCCGGGTTTTGCGAGCCATGGCTGTCTCAAATCGCGATTTGGGGCTCCAATTCCATCGCTGGGCAGAGCGATTCCATCGCTGGCACGGAGACGAGGGGGAGGATTGATTGTCAAATGCGAGCAAGGGGCTTCTAGCAGCGCCGGGGGAGAAGTGGGCATTTGGGTTGGAAGATTCGCGATGCTTGGATTTGTCGGAACGCTCGCGGTAGAAATCGGCACTGGCAAAGGCCTTCTCGAGGTACGTGAAATCATGAAAATCTTTCCAACAAGTTCCGATGCTTCTTTTTTCTAGACTGCCGGATTGACGACTCCAGCTCCAATTCCCGCATTGGCGGTGGCGGGTGTCCTCGGGGTGATCGCGGCGCTGGGAATTTTCAGGTCCGCGCCAAAAGAATGAGACTCTAGAAACCTTCTATCTCTTTTCCAACACGACATCCACGCAGAAGAAATCTTTGGATTGCTAAAGCCGTAGATCTGTGAGAACGCATTCTTTCCTTTGCTCGAATTCAAAGCGCGTCAACTTTTTACGTTGCAAAACTGGGAATGTTGTTTAATCGTTGGCTCACCGGAGGGAAATGCTGATAAGATGATCGTCTTTTACGCGCACCACCATAGAATTTGGGTATCTTATGCCCGAATGGCGCATATGCTACTAAGGGGGAGCCCAGTACCAATCTCAAACGTGTATCGCAGAAAGCACGCAGCGAAAATTCTTGTTGGGGAGGACTCTGAGTTGTATGTTTTTGATAGCTACATGCAAACTTCAAAGAGTCGTTCTCTTGTGGACACTGATTTAACCACTCATAGTTGCGAATGTATGCAGCCTTCGGTTGATGGGATAGAAAACACCCCTTCGCTTTTGCTGAAACGTGAGACACAGAAACTGCATTATTTGCATCCCATGCAGAGTTCAGCAGCTATAGAATATTTGAGAAGCATTGGGTGAAAGCCATTGTAAAACAGAAATCTGTTACTTGCCAAACTTGAATTTGGCCTTTGCAAGACTTAGTATAAAAATAGAAATGGTCACATGGTTTTTTTATTTTTGTTTTTTTTTTTGAGAGCCATGATCATTTTCTAAGAAGTTCCACGAAGGAAATAAAGGTTTAATGACAATATAATGTTCTTGCAACTAATTATCACAATGAATAGCAGGATTAACATTAAAAAAATATACATATTTAACATCATCACAAAGCCTAAATGTACCTTCCAATAAAATTTTAGTGGCAACCATCTGAAACTTAGATGCATAGGAGGATGCAACTTTAGAGTTTTAGTGCAATTATTATATTATATTGATAGCAATATCATGTTCAACAATATTGATTGGGATCATATTGCTAATGAAGTGTTGAATAAAAGATCAAAATCCTAAAAATAAAATCACTCTTCTAAAAAAGAGCAGAGAAACTAAAAGTGTTATAATAAAAAAGAAATTTGATCAATCTCACACAAAATGTTTAAGTGAAATATAAATTAAATTGTATAACAATTTAAAGCTTAACTTAATTCCAAAAAATGGGATCCACTAATACCTTCATACTTCCATTTACTCAACACTTCCATTCACTTATGTTTATTTAAAACTTTCACACTTCCATTTAGTCATATTTGGGTGTATTTGCATTATCATTGTTCATGATAAGATTTGCATTTAAAACTTTTAGTCACATGATTTAAACTCAAAATCTATTATACACATACATATTGATTCCAACATAAATTAAGTTTTAAAATTGTTAAAATCCCTTCTCTTGCTTACACTAATATTATTTTAGATACTCTTAAAAGTACCTAAAAATATTAATGTTTTTTATATTGTAACCTAGGTTTTGATTAAGAAATTAAATAAATGTTAAAAAAGTTATATTAAAATTATTTCTTAACTTTATTTACAAATATTTTTAATGGATAATTTTTAATATTATAATTTTACATTTATTTTATTATTCACAAATATATTTAACTTTCTTTTCCAATTGAAGGAATTTTTTTGAAAAATTCCCATAGAAACTGCCACTGCATCCAAGCCCAGCCAGCAAGAGCAAGACAGGCAGCACCAATATTTTAGATATAAATGTTAGAATTGTTTCATACTTCAATTAGTTGTGCAGGAGGCTGAAAAGTTTTGGACATAATGCTTCATAGCGAGCACCAAATTCTTAAATCCAGACCACCCAGCATTCGCCTTACTGATTATCTGCCTCACAAACTCCATAACACCTTCCAAATCTTTCTTGTTAATGCGACCACCAGTGATCCCATCACCTTTGATTAAACTAACAGTCCGCATGTATCGCACCAGACTGTGGTACTCTATCACTTTGGAAAACACATCACCTCCATTGTTATTCCCATCAAACTGGCAGCCATCCACAGTGAAATCCTCCCCAACATGTACGTAATTGAGCGATGGAAGGTAAGGAACCACGTCCCTGATATCCGACACCCTCAAAACATCCAGAGCGCTGATCGCTTCTTCCACCAATTGCTTGAATGTCTCGTCCCCAACCATGGGCGACGCAAACGTATAGACCGAGAGCTTCTTTCCTTGGACATGATCCATGATATCACTGTTTGCGACATCAAAGGCCGCGAGAGTGGCGAGCGCTCCGCCAAGGCTGTGACCAACGAAGCTGATGCTATAGCCTGGATTGGAAGAGGCCAGAGATCGCAATTCCTCCACGGTTTGCTGCCTCAGGCTGATCTTCCCCTCGTCAGACTCGGTGTACAAGCTGAGAAACCCATCATGGATTCCGGGAGAATTGGCGGTGCTACCATTGAGATATGTGAAAGAAACTCGCGAAACCAGCAAGTTTTTGGCCCATTCCCCGGGATTGGACGTCCCCCGAAAGACCACCACCACGTTTTGCCTGGAATCGGAGATGGCAACGCAGCCGATCCATACCCAGGGCTCCCCAAAAAAGGGCCCAGTCTTCTCGGCGGCATACAAGTCCCTTGTGATCCTATAATCGCTGCCCGAGCTGATGATCGAGGAGGAGTTGATCTTGTTATACACGTCCTCCACGATTCCCCCGTAAAGGAGGAGCGTGTCGCGGTCCCAGGAGGCGGCGATGGCAGCGCCGAGAAAGAAAGTAGATACTACCAGCGCCAATGGAAAGATGGCCATCTCTTCTCCTATCATCCTTAGCCATTCGATCCTTGAAATATTATCCCCGCGCATCTGGAATCTAGCATCGAATCCTCCGTCTCGTGGTAGGCGACAGAGATTCCTCGTCCTTCTTGCTGGATGCCTTTTTGTGGTTTAGGGTTTTTAAATTATTAGCACATAAGCCCTAGTCAAATGGACAACTAAGTCAAACTGGATATCTCAACGAGATCTATGCCGATGTCATAGAAAAGGTGGCATTGAAAACAAACAACAAGTTGGGCTGCACACTGTCGTGTAAAGAAAGGTATGTTACACAACTCTCACTCACTCGATTGAGGGACGTTCGATCGTTTCCCCTCCTAAAACAACAAAAAAGTAGAAAACGAAGAAAACAGTTGATCGCTCTAAGATTTTGCTAGCTCTCTAGTTACTATACAAGCAGGCATTGTCTCCAAAGTTGTGATGCTCCAAGTTGTGATGCTCCTCCACGTCCCTTTGGTACGCCTCGGACAGCTGCTTGTCATCGGTGACCCTCTTGAGCTTGGCGAGCAGACGGAGTTGATCCTCGGGGATGCGCCGGTTCTGGATGCACTCATGCTCGAACGATCCATCGTCCATGTAGCTGTTTAGAATGGCTGTGCACCGCGGGAAGAATCGATGGCCAACTTCAACTAAAACATCGACACAAGTCACAGTCAGGAACTCGGGAGGACGCAGTGCCGTGCTTACTTGCTCGCTGGAGAGCGTTAACTCTTTGGAGGAGCGACGAGTTTATGTCCGTGTCGGATCGAGTCGGCTCCTTGTTGAGGTCCATGAGGCTGCTCGTGTCTTCCATGCTGAACTCCTTGGTGGTGTCCAGCTGCGACAGTCCCAGCACCACTTTGCACTCGCGCGGCCATAAAAGTCGAGCAAATGCCACTGTGGAACAGTAAAAACATCATCCATCAGTCCAGTTCTTCCAGCCTCGAAGCAGCCAATAAAGAGGAAAGGAGAACATCCTCCAAAAACTTTAAAGCACACTGGCTAGAAAGAAATCAGTCCAGGAAAAAGCCTGACACTTGCAAGTTCTATCACTATCTTCAAACCAAAAGCAAAGAAAAAACAAACAACAATCAAAGAGACACCAAGACACCATATAGTCAAAGTGAAAAATCAAAGCTCTCTTTCTTTGCAATCGCTAAGCTCAATCACTTGATCATGTCATGGAAGGAAAGAAAGCTGGCAAATCACTCCTTCCAAAAAACCAAAGAACCAAAGGAGGAGAAGATGGAACTTTACCTCGATTTTCCAAGTAGAGTAATCTCATCAAGAGTTCCCTCTCGCCCATGGGCACTGGGAACACCGGACAAGGATTCGCGCGATCGGCCTGCTCGAGGATCTCCACGCAAATCCTATCGCGCAGCCAGTCCTCGCGGGCCTCGGCGGACTCCAGCGGCTCGATGTTCCTGGCGATCCTCCGCGACACTTGCAGCGCGGTATACCCCTCGGGCGTGGTGTCGAGCGGCGACGCGCCTTTGCCGAGCAAGAGCCCGACCACCTCGGGCACCCGGCGGAGCGTGGCGGCGTGCAGCACGGTATAGCCATATCGGTCCCGGAGATTGACGTCACCCAGGCCGAGATCCAGGAGCTCGGTTAGCGTCTTGCGATCACAGTAGGAGGCCGCGTAGTGAAGCGCATACACCGAATCCACGCTGGAATTGCTCTCGCTGAGGAGCATCCCCATGAGCTCCACGTCGTCGGAGTCGAGCGCCTTGTAGACGCGGCGCCACCGCTTGTCCTCCGCGGCGTCCACCGGGTGGATGCCAAGGCGGTGGCGGAGCTGCGCGATGTCGCGGACCAGCGCCGGGGCGTGCGCGAGGAGAGATTTCTCGATGGCCAGCGCCGGCGTGTTGGATCTGGCCAGAATTGGAAGGCACATTTCCTGGAGCGCCTCGCATCCCTGCTGCGCGGCCGCCGCCGCCGCGATCTGGAGCACGTTCTCGGCCGGCGTCTTGGGGAGGAGCCGGAGGAGACGATCCTGCATCCATGGAACGAAGGCGAGAGATCAAAATCCCCTCCAAGAACCCTAAAATCGAGAAAGGGGGAAAGGAAGATTTTATTACCTGCGCCATGCTCTTGAGGTCCGACACTTGGAACAGCGATCCCACGAAGAGGAGCTCCAGCAAGAACTCGATCACCGGCCAGCACGCCACATGCGGGCATTGCGAATCCATGCACGTCACGCCGCTGCATTCCTCCTCGATCCGCTGGAATTTGCCGCCATAGAAATATCCCAGCACGATCATCAGCGCCTGCCGGCCAATCTTCCCAGTCCCGCCCGCGAGCTCCGCCAAATCCACCTCCACCCGACCGCTACCGCTACCTCTACCGCCACTCGCCGCCGCCGCCGCCGCTGCTGGCGGCTCCTTCCTCTTCTCCCCGGCCTTCGATCGCCTCTCCGGCGGCGCTACCGCCACCGCCGCTGCCTGGACCCGCTGCTGCTCCCGCTGCTTCTCCGCGAAGATCCGGCGAAGGAATGGGCTGCGCGCCGCGAGGATGCAGCGGTGCACGGGCACTGTCACGCCCTCGGCAACGATGATCTCGGCATCGCTGTAGAAATGGCAGTCCTCCGCGCTCGTCACCAGTCCCTCGAGATCCTGCCCCAGCTTGTTCAGTCCCACCCACGCTTGCAATTGGTCCTCCTCCAGCCCGCCGCTACCACTGCCGTCGTTGGGCGTCGCCGCCAGCACGCCGCCACAAGCGCCCCCGCCAGCGGACGTACAGCTGCTGGCGGCAATTGACGGCGATTGCATGCCGCCCGCGGTACACTGCCCCTGCGTGGGCGGCGACAGCGAGAGACGCGACGTCATACTGCCGCTGCTAGCCGCGCGGCTAACATTGACCATCTATCCCCCCTCCTCGGACCTCCTCCTCCTCCTCTTATCGTGCTCGTGGCGCCATAGCCCGGAATTCCAATCGCCTCCTACTCGATCATCGTCCTATCCATCCAGAAATTCTTTCACTGGAGGGAGTAGCGATTTCTTTTCTCCTCTCTCTCTCTCTCTCTCTCTTCTCGTCTCTAGTACTAGTACTGCTGTGAGCTAGGCTGTAGAATCGAATCCTGGGCAGAAGATTATTCAACTCAACTCTCAAGAACCCTAATCTGTGGAGGGGCGCTCGCCTCTCAAAATCACACCTCTCGCCAAATCTGGGCTTGAATGTGTTGGGTTGTTGGGGGGTTTTAGATTCGAGGCACTGCAAAGGCGCGATCTTTAGAAGCGCAGGAACAAAAGAAAGAGAGGGCCAGTGTGTGGTGGACAGACTAGACGGCCTTCGGTCCACTTGTTGTTCTACTATACGCAGCCCCCCTCTTGGGTGTAGGGAATTTTATCTCCAATCACAGGCAAGGGAAATTTAAGGCCCGTCGCGTTCCCCACGAACGACCCAATCCAAACCCAACTGTTCCGTGGCGTTTGGCTTGGACCGTGGTGATTCGATCTAAAACATCACCCAAAACATCACCCCGGTGCTTTCCCATGGTTTTGGCGCTGGTGTAGTGTCCCAGTTTTTAGAAGTGTTTCGAGCTAGCGTGTGTTGTCACCTTGACATTTGCACTCGTCCTGTAGCTCCTGCAGTTCTTCCGTTCTTTTGTTTGCTTGCTGGAATATGCGTACATGTGCCGCGTATACTCGACGACGAGCGACGGAAGCCTCCAAACTCATTCATGCATTTCGAGCATCCAACGTGCATGCTGCACTGAATTTGCTCCCCGGCACTTACCATAAAGGAGCGGATCGCAAAAGGCGTGCGATTGCGATTGCACAACAAGCCCAGAACCCTAAATCTTCCACACACATCATGGGAGAGAATGGAATCTCCCATCCAGGCCGGGGAGATTGCCCGAATCTCATTCAACTTTCATTCCTCTCTGGGTAAGAAAAAAGAAAGAAAGAGTGATTGGCTTTTGGTTGTGCCGGCAATCACGAAGAACCCAACCGAACAAGCTTTGCAAATTGCAAGCTTTTTTACATTTGGATAGATTTGCTATTTGGTACAGCTGTAGAAAAAAGTCGGCGTCAGACATATCCAATCCACTTTTTGCCCTTAGGGCTCTTTTAGGGCTTGAATAGGGCTAAACACTTTTAGGGCAAACCAGAGGAATAGAATATTCGGCTCCCAACGGCTACCTGGATTTTGAATGCTACCCCCCCGGCTTTTAAAATGGGAGAGAGTGCTCGCGTTTTGGGGCAGTGGAGCTTTGGTACCTAGCTATGGAGGCGGTGCCAGTCCGGAGAACACGTAGCCAGGCAAGGAAGGAGCAGCAGCAGGAGGAGGAAGTGATCTTAGCCGGTGAGTGTTCTCGATTTGATTCGATCGCCTTCTTGTATTGCCCAAATCGATTTTGTTTCCTGGCCTGCCTCTCCAGTGGATTTGCAGATCGATCCAATCGCGGCAGAGGAGCATGCGAAGCTCGGGTGGCGGCGGTGCGGCGTGCCCGGCAAGAGGAGGACGGCGGTCCCGCGGCGGCGGCCACTGGCGGACGTGACCAACGATTCGCCCATCGCTGGGATGTGCAAGGGCTCGCCGGCGGCGGCCATGGCGATCGCGAAGAACAAGAGCGCGGCCGTGGTGTTGGAGGAAGAAGAAGAGGCCGGTGAGAGCTTGCTGAGATCTCAGGTCCAGTCCTTGCTCGAGACCGTCGATCCTTGCAAGGTGACTAGCTTCGTGTACTCGTCGCCGTGCTCGGATCATGGCGGCCCAACGCCCGCAAACACCCCAGCTGGTGGCGCCACCGCCGCCGCCGGCGGGATGATCACTATCGCTATCCACGATCCAGCCGAGGAGGAGGACGACCAGAGCTCCAACTGGTCAGTGGATGTGAATGTAAGTTCGCCCCAGAAGAGCGTGGAGGAAGAAGAGGAAGAACCCGTGATCCAGAAGAACGGGAAGGCGAATCCAAGTTGCCCAAATCCATGGGCGATGCGCGATCACACTTCCAAGCTCGTAGATCCCGAGTTTGAGGACGAAGGAGCGATCGATCAAAACCCCGGGGCCGAGAAAGAGGAAGAATTCGACGAGGAAGAGGAAGAGGACGAGGTTGTGGATGACGAGCTATGCCGCGGGGTGAGTGGAATCTGTGTATCCAAGAAACCACTCTTCGTCCAATTCGCTGGAAAGCACATCCGCTACAAGTATAACAGCGATGACGAGCTGCTGGAGGAGGAAGTGATCGATCCACCATCACCGCCACCAGTGGCGGAGCCATCACCATCGATCACCAAGCTCAACGGGGTCCCAATCGCCGCTGGCAAGCATCTCCGCTTCCAGGACCCATGAAACTTTCGATCGATCAGTCACATCTCAAGCTCTTTTTGAGAAGAATCAAGGCTTTTTTTTTCTAGAATTTCCTGTGTCGATCAGCTCGTAGCTTTCAATGGATCAACGAATCTTTCCAGATGACACGGTCGATCGAAAGAGATGAACACTCGATCGAACGAGATGAAGAACGCTCGATCGAAAGAGATGAAGAACGCTTGATCGAAAGAGATGAACGCTCGATCGAGAAAGAGATGAAGAACACGACTATCCTACCCATCTCTGGCAGTGATGGAGATTTGCGAAGAGCACGCATTGGAAAGCAACATAAACGCGGAGGAGTTCCCTGGATCGAGCTTCACCACATTCTTGGCAGCTCGAGCGCCCCTCTCGACGTCGCCATGAACCCTACACGCGCCCAGCAGCGCCGCCCACGCCACCGGCCCGGGCAAGTAGGGCATCGATTCCACAAGCTCCTCCGCGTCGTCCAGCAACCGTCGGTTGGATCGCCCCAGCAAATCCACAATGCAACAGTAGTGATCGTGCTCTGGCGCGATACCATAGACGCTGCTCATCGCCAGGAAGCAATCCCTGCCCTCTTCCACCATCCCCGCGTGGCTACATCCGTGGAGGATCACCAAGAATGTGATCGAGTTTGGGCGAATTCCATCCAAATCCATGGACCGCAGCAGCGCTAGAGCTTGCTTGCATTCGCCCTTGTGGCAGTTCGCCTGGATCATCAGCGTCCACGCGATCTCGTCCTGGTGTGGCACCGATTGGAAGAGCTCGCCCGCGCGAACCACATCCCCATTCAAGGCATACGCCGCGAGCATCATCGTCCACGACGTGGGATTGCGCTCTAGCATCGAATCAAACGCTTCTCTAGCTCGGATGAGATCGTTCTTGTGAATGTAAGCCAGCAAGATGGCGTTCCATGAACCAATGTTTCGATGTGGTATCCGATCGAACAAGATCTTAGCTTCTTCCAGATGCCCAAGCAGGGCATACGCTGCGAGCATCGTGTTCCACAGAACAAGATCGTGGCCCCCCTTGCTAGCGAGCATCATCGTTCTAGCGCGATCGATATGCCCGTTTAGAGCATAGGCCTGGATCAAGCTCGTCCTTGACACCACGTCGTGCTCGCCCATTCCATCGAAAACTCGCTGCGCTTGCTCCAGATCGCGCCCCTGTGCGAATGCCGTGATCATGCTCGTGCACGACTGGAGATTGTGCTGCGGCATTCGATCGAACGCCCTCCTCGCCTGTTCCAGATCTTGATCCAGCGCATGCGCCTGGATCAAAGCCCCCCACGGGAAAACATCCCTCTCCGGCATCGCGTCGAACAGACTCTTGGCGGATTCCACTCGCCCGGCCTCGCCGCACAGCCCGATCATCGCGGCCCAGGGGATTCCATCCCACGCCGGCATTCTCGCGAACAATCCCATGGCAGCATCGAGAAGGAAGCTTGGATTTCCAGCGTGAACCAGCGCCAGCAGCATGCTCGTCCATGCCGCCAGATCCCGCCGCTCCTGCCCCTCGAAGATCTCCCTCGCCTCGCGGCACCGCCCCAGCTGCCCTAGCGCGTGAATCGCGCACAGCCCGGAGACACGATCCCTCTCTGGAGCTCTATCAAGCGTGTTCTTGGCCTCGGCAAAATGCCCATACTGCGAATATGCGCTAGCCATGGCGTTCCACGACACGGCCGTACGCTGCGGCATCCGGGCAAAGACCGCCGCGGCGCCCGCGGCTGTCCCGCGCGGCATAGAAAATGCCGCCGACAGCATGGTATTCCACGTCAGCACGTTGCGCCGCGGCATGGCGTCGAAGTGGGATTTTGCGTCCTCCAGATGCCCGTTCTGGGCATATGCCGTGAGCATGACGTTCCAGGTGACCACGTTGGACTGCGGCGCTACCGCGGCGAAGACGCGGCGGGCCTCGTCCACGCCGCCGCATTTGCCGTACATGTCGATGAGGAGGTTGAGGAAGTAGCGGCTGTTGGTGGCGACGATCTGGGCGTGGAGTTTGCGGGCCTGGCGTAAGTCCCTGGATCTAATGCAGCGCTTGACGAGCTGCGATAGTAGTGGTTCCTTCTCCATCCATGCTTGGCTTTATTTTGATTTCGATTCTTCTCTTTGGAGCGAACAAGGATCTAGGAAGAAATTCTTGTTAGAATGCTGGAAGAATTTACACGCTACCTAGAAGAGAGAACTGCTTAGACGCTCTTGTGTTTCTTCCTTATGGATGCCATCATCTTTGCTTCTCGGCTGTGAAGAAAAGAAGGAAAGAAAATGGTGACGCTATGAATAAGCGAACAAGCCTTTACCTGGCGGCGTGCTCTACTCGAGCTTTTCTCATGAGGCGGCCTTTCACATTGCTGAAAGCGCCAGAAGATCCACCACCTGGAGTGAGACGAAAATAATCGCCACGATCAGAGACGTTTCTTGACAAGATCTTTCGGTCTACTCACTGCCAAAGCTTCTCTTCGGCTCCGGTGGAGATTTGTAGCATCGCTTGAGCTGCCTGCTTTGTTTCTCTGGATAGACACGAGCAGCATCGAGTAAATCAGGAAAACTCAAAGACGAAGAACAAGTTACTGGATTCTTCTTCCATGTGTAAGCGTTGGAGCAACTCCACGCCTTTTTGCTGCTTCTCTTCGCGATGCTTGAGCTTCGCCTAGTAAAAAAAAAGGAGGAAAAAATAAACCAAAACCAAGAGAAGTGAGAGATGCTATCACCACAGGCCAGAGATTACCTCGTACAAATCTCTCCACTTAAACTGGCTCTTGGAGGCATGCTTCAATTTGGACTCCACAAGCTCCAAGCTATGCGGGCCAAAATCACGGCCGTAGCATTTCTTCCACAGCTCGTTCGTCACGGGTGCCAAATCCCTATCCTGTGAGGAGGAGCCAGGAATCGCATCGCTGGAAGCAAATCCTCACTGACCTTGCTACAATTCTCGATGTGCCGCAGCTGGTCCGTCGTGCAATGCGGCAGGATGATGCGCAGGAGATCCAGATCCGTGTCGCCGACATCGCCAAACCTGTGGAGATTATCGATGGCGGTGTGGATGCAAAGCTCTTGCAGCGATGGAGCTCGCGCTCCCATCCCCGCGAGGAAGAAGAAGAGGAAACCCTCTTCCCTCTTGTGTGGCACAAAAAAGATATTTTAGGGCTAACTAACGTGCTCTCACGAAAATATTTCTAGGGCGCGTAGATCTGAGCTGGGGAGCTCGAGAGCTCGGCGATGGGGGGGACAGCATCGACGCCGCGGCCTGATGCGCGGCCGGAAGAACACCGCGATTATCTTCTCGGGGCGATGGTAGGTGGCCGAATTTACGATCTAAGCTCCAGCTTTTGGGAGAAGCTGTTGCTGCTGCCTCCGGCATTCGAATGGTCCGTGGAGCGAGTGAATGAAGCTGGCGCGCTACTCGGTAAGCACCGATTCTTCCTTCGCGGATCGGCTGCTGAGGCAAAAATTCTCGCGATTGTCTCTTTCAGCTCAGAACAATATCCAGACTCGGCATTTCCCCAAATTGCTCGTCCATCTCGTGTGGAGCATCCAAGAGGTGACTGCCTCGCCGGGATCTAAATCCTCCGCCGTGAAAGTTATCAATGCGACGTACTTCTCTCGGGTGTTTCTCAAATACTTGATCGAGAATTCTTCCTCGTCTTTCTCGAGCCATCTCGTTCTACACATCAGTGATCACGACGCAGCGATCTCAAAGCTACCCGAAGGTATGCATGGCTCGCTCTTTTCTCTTCTTTTTATCTTGCTATGGATCTCTAAAGTTGACTTTAACCAGCAGGCGATCTTAATGTTCCCAGCCTAGTGCTGCATGGATTGCTGACTTTCATCGGTGCCTCGGATATAAAGTACGTAGTGTGATTCTTAGACCTCAAGTAACTTCCACGGATGTGTTACCTCATTTTTTCTTTGTGTAAGTCCTTACACGTACATGCTACACCTCGAGCTTGTGAACTTGCTTCTCGTCATGATGTCGACACAGCTTTATTCGCCTATGAGCGCAGGCTTTCATCCATTTCTAGATGCCGCTATTGCACAGGTAAATAATGTAAATCATGTTCTTTAACATCCAGAGTCTTCACATATGGAAAATGTACAGGAAAGCTATGTCGTTGGTCCTTTCATTCGCAAGCTGCTCCTTTCGTTTATTGCAAGAACTCCTTTGCCATCAGAAGCTGCGTACTACGGGACGCAGGACAAAGAAACGGGTGTTATACGGAAAATGAGCTCAGCAGCTGGTAAGAAGATGAAAAGCCGAAGCGCGACTTATGCTCTTTTTTCGTTCTTCCAGCGACGGTGTTTATGCTGCCTTATTACACCTACACGTATTTGTTGAGCCCCGGGAGTGACCGCTTTTCCAAATTCCCGTTGGCGGATAACAGTTTGCTTCTGCTTTTGGTTCTTGTCCACTATGGAAAGAGAACCCATGTTACTCCTCTGGACAATGATGTAGAACCTTGTACCGAAAACTTGGCGGTGGGTCTGCACAATCCTTTTCGTCGAGCACTATCATCCTCGAGAGACACAGACTGTACGTGGAAACTATGCTTTAGTTTTCATTTGTGTGTGTCCGTTTTTTTTCTAATTATATGTATGCTGCTACAGTTGACATCGCAGACATCGAGCAAGCTGGGCAGGGAGTTCGAATTCCGTTTGCGGCCTTGTTTGATAGGCTTGGACCGTATGTAGTGCGATTGGTTGCTTGAGTAGACATTGATGTTGCTTTTTTGTTTCCAGGGGCCTCACCGAAGACGCAACTATTTTGCTCCTTTACTCGCTTGTCCATGGGAATCCGGCATTCTTGGAGTACGTGCTAGTGCGAACTGATTTAGACACTCTGGTACGCCTTGGCTTTGTGGCGTCTTTTCTTCGTTCTAATGCACAGTATACACAACAGATTATGCCGGTGCTAGAGATGCTTTATGATGTACAGAAACGAACTCCAAATCAAATATACATGCTCCTGGTTATCTTTCTTATACTTAGCCAGGATTCGACGTTCAACGCAAGCATACACAAGCTGGCACGTACATGTCCTCCAAAGTTTCATGTGATTGACTCCAGTCTTACAGATATTACCAGGGGTTTCTTGGTATAAAGAGCGCCTTCTTCCTGGGATTTCTCTGGGATCGTTGATGGTTGTCATTCTTATCAGAACAGTGAAGTTCAACCTGTCTAAGCTTCGAGTAAGCTAGTGCTTTTTCTTTAGAGGCCTCAACGATTGTGACGTCTCTCTCTTGCAGGATCTATTTCTTCACACAAACTGTCTTGCCATTTTGGCGAACATGGCCCCACACATGCATCAGCTCAATGCTTATGCGTCTCAAAGGCTCGTGAGCCTTTTCGACATGCTCGCACGAAAGTAAGTGTCGTAATCAAACTTCCTTTCACTCAAAGCTTTTCTCCTTGATACAGATACAAGAAGGTTGTGGATGCCAATATCAACGTCAAGGTTGCGGTTGCAAAGCTCGGTCAGGTGGAAGGCTTTGAGGCTTCAGAGGATATGGTGAGCAATCATTAGGTTCCTCTGAAGGTTGGGTAATGATGGATTGATTACAGATGTTTCAATAATGCAAGTTTTCTTGCAGCCAACAGAGCTACATATCTACACTGATTTTTTGCGCATTGTTCTGGAAATCATTAACGCGATCCTGACGTACGCTCTTCCTAGAAATCCGGAGGTGAGCATTCTGTTTGTAGCGAGCTTCTTATCCTAAGCTTTCGTTTTCAGGTTGTGTATGCGCTTTTGCACAGACAAGAGTTGTTTCAACCGTTTAAGGAGCATCCTCGTTTCTATGAGCTCCTGGAAAACATCTTCAATGTGAGTTTCTGGTTGAATTGCTCTCCAATGCTCTGACGTTTTCATGCGGCGGTGCATAGGTTCTAGACTTCTTCAACGTCCGCATGGATGATCAGCAATCAAATGCGGAGTGGTCCGTCGAGAAAGTCTTGCAAATAGTAATCGCAAACGCAAGGTCCTGGAGAGGCGAAGGAATGAAGGTAGCTTACCACTTTACTGCTTTTAACAAGGCCTGTATTGGTAACTCTTTTCTTTGCTCAGATCTTCACACAGTTGCGATTTACATACGAAGAAGAGCTCCACCCAGAGGAATTTTTTGTGCCATACATTTGGCAGCTAGTAGTAGACCAAAGGTACGGTAATACCTCGCATTCATAGTAATAAAAGTAACGTTTGTTTCCTTCCAGAAATATAGATTGGAACCTCGACATGATCTCTTTGTTTCCAGCCAGATCACAAGTAGAAGTGCGTAAACTTTCCATCTTCGAGCAATCCTCTGCTAACGCCAAGTCTTTTCTTCTTGCAGCTTGGAGACGGCCATGTTGATAAACAGCAGCAAGATATTCCTGTTTCAACCAATCCTGTTTGACTTGCTTGTCCAAACTTCCGGGGTGATGTATAAGCTTTTAGAAGAGAGAATCTAAAGAATAATAAAGAAAGAGAAGAACAAAAATATCCCTCGCACTCAAATCAAAATCGTTCTCCAAATCTAACATACAATGCTCCAGAACCCGCGTTACAGTCTCTGGCGTACTCCGCTCTCACGAGTCCCAGCTTCACTCCAACTCCGTACGAGCCTCCGTGACCAACGCGCCTGAAAAACTCGGTGGGATTTCCTCGCACGTCTTTGGAGCTGCCGAGGTCTGTTCCGTACTCCACAAAACCGTAACAATGCGTGTTCTTTACAGGGACTCGCAACTCAGCCGCAGTCTGGCAGGAAAGAAGGGAAAAAATGGATCCACAGGACAAGAAAGAAGGAAGAAAACTATACCTCGAGGATGTTTCTGCAAGCTGCAAGCTCCCCTAGATTATAGCCGCGAACGGAGTAAGGTCCTCCCAGAGTGAAAGCATCGTAGCTTGGAAGATCGCCAATGCAGCCTCCGTAGTGACCGTGGATCACCAGAACCGGAGGTGGCTGCTCGCCGTGTCTATCTTCGGGCCTCAGTTGTATAAACCGAGTCAATGTAAGTTGGTGTCGATTGAAAAATGGAAACCTGGAGCCGACTCCCAGTCCTTGATCGAGCTGTTACCATCATACCAGGAAGCAGTGAGAATGAGAGCTAATTTACCATACACTTCTTACCTGGAAGATGTTCCTCGAGCCAATGGGTGTTCCATTTACGAACTTTGTGTTGTCGTGTGTGAGATTGGCCTGGAAAAATCCCACCCGGTCAGTCCCGGTGTCGCTGTGAGTAGTCGGGGGACCGTCCATGCTCAAGGCCCCGCTTGGAAGCACGCGAGCCCCGTTAGTGCAAATGGCACTGTTCTCGTCGCGCGTTGTGACTTCCTCCATGACAAATCCATACGTCAGCTTGCTCTGCCTGGTGAAGTTCTGGACGAGATAAACAGTGAGTATATAACAAGCCAAGCAAAGCTTAACAATTACCTCAGTTATACCGGCTTTAAATCCAGCTCGATCGACCCATATACCAGGCACGTCTTCCAAACCGGGACCTCCAGTAAACACAGCACTGACTTTGCGACTGTTAAAACAGCTAGCCTTGAGCGTACGCTCCCTGGGATCGGTCACACCGTCGAGATACGGGTGCACGTATTCCATCTTGAATCCTAAGTCATCCTACAAATCCACATTGCGGTGCGTAAATATCGAAAAGATCTGAGAGGGAAGTACCGGACCTGGGGATTGAAGAGATTATTCGACGTGACAGTACAAATCAATGTGCGGTTCAAGCCTTTGATATTCCGATGCTCAAAGGTTACGTTACCACCTGGCTGGATCGAGGCCTGTATCAACAAAAACGCATAAGCAGTGAAGATCATTTGGATATAAAGTGACTCACCAGTGTTGGACGTCCAGAATTCCCTGGCACTATGCTCCACTCGGTGCTGATCTCAGCAGTTTTCTGCTCGAGCTCCTTCAACTTCACTTCCACTATAATACCTCCCTCGATCTCTTCATCCGGCCTTGGATTGACTTCAATGTTAGAAAAGAGAGAAAGATTGTTAATGTTGCGCAAAGCTTTCTTGCCCGCTTCAATGTTGAAGATCTTCCCGGAGCTAAGCTGCATCCAGCAAAACAACAAATGAGAACCACCGGAGAAAATAAACAAGCAATACCTGTGAAGGAAGCTCCCTCTCTATGATAGGGACTTGAGTGTTCCCT